GGGACAAGGAATGTGTACTTAAATATATAAATGAAGACACACAGTAACTTTTGAATATTAACAGATATAAGTCTTAGAGTTTTTTTTTAATTTTGTTAACGTGATTTATGTTTCTATCTTGTCATCGGTGAAAGCGAAAAAAAATCCTTGGAACAACTCTTCGAGGGTCCATACATAACGATTGCAAAATTTCTCTACTTATCCAACATACCCTCATTTGCTAGTCCATATCTACGTCGACTTACCTTGCAGACCTACCTACTTTATTGTTAATTTGATTTCATCCTGAATGTGCAGGAAAAATTTGCCATTGGATGTTAAACAATCAACAATCAACCAATATACCACTCATAACGACCACTTCTATCAATTATGTATTTCTGCTTTCTAATTAATATCAATAATTTCTTTAGATGGATACTTTATGGTGTAAAATGGAATCGTTTGGTTTCTGAAGTAGCTAAATCGGAATGGGAAAGTTTTGCTAGTGCTGGTACAGAAGGTCCGACCATGGCAATACTACCTAACTGCCCTGAATTACAGAGGAACTCCTCAAGATATTACTATTTTAGGGTCAAGACATGGAGATGGGGAACTTCCGAGAATTTATGTGGTATGAACTTTTATAATACTATATATGAATCTGACGATTTGATGATTTCAAAGTCTATAAAATTTTATCTTTTCTAAATTACATGAATATGTACAAATCCATTTATTTTCATTTACAAAATAAACACAAGTGTCTTTATGATTACCTTGACAAGATTCCTGCTATTTACGACTAAGAATTTCAGAATCTTTTGATATTTCAAATAACTGTTGAAACTATAACGATGTTAGTATAACTTAAAAAAATACGGCTAACCATGCAAGAGCACGTCTTTTCGACCCAGGTTTCTAGTTTTGTTGGCCTTGCTATATCTAGATTTCTGTGTTTATTTTGTTTGGTCTTTTGGTCGTTATTTTTTGGCAATTTTGTTTCTAGTTTCTCTTCGACTTATGGTGTTTGTTAGCTTTGTATCTTCTCAACGTTATATGTTATCTCAGTGTCAATGAGAAGGCAACAAGTTCACGAATTATTGTAAAAATCAAACAGGAAAGACATCGTTTAATGAAAATAGCACTAAACTAATTCCGTGCGTCCGAAGCGGTTTTCTGGATTTAACTTCATCAGAAACGCTCAAACGCAAATATTTGAAAGCCCCGGATGTTTAAGACCTAAAGATGAGAAGAGCTTTATGACTAAAAGGGACCTAGATAAATAGACCAAATTCATCTAAAGTCAACTTTATTTTATAATTATTATGATATTATTGATTGGTGGCCTTGGACTGTTTTCTGCTCATTGGTCGGGTTGTTGTCTTTTAAACACATTCCCCGTTTCCATTCTCTATTATATTTGCCCGTTTAAGTTCTTATTTATCAACGAATTTGAAGAAAAATTTGTTAAAAATCATGGCGATTACTGATGATACTTTCAGTGACTGACATACCACAAGTAGTAAAAGAAAATAACGCTAAAACTAAAGGAGCAGGAACTGTGTTCTCGTCCGGTTTTTTTTGTGGTTTTTGGTACGTTTCCCGAACATCTGCCTTCTGTATAAGGTAGCAACACACAGTTATGAGTGTAGTTTCACATTTTGGCCATGGTGGATTTTTCAAATATGAAAGTTATTGTGCAATAAAATTCATTTTTAGACAGCTGATGACTAATTTAGCCTTCAAAGTGGGTTTATAAGAACATCAAGATTTTTTTTAACATGTTTTATGGGCTATTTTCTGTTTGACTGTCCGTATTTTCATAGCCAGACCGGCCATAGGTCCAGAAATTATTGTAATGTTTACAAACACTTTTTTTTCACACGAACTTTTTGACGCAATTTTACAAAAAAATGAGACGAAAAACATATCATTTTTATTTGATCTCTTGATAGATATATGTAAACAGTTTCAGAAAAGGTATCACCCTAAGGCATTACAATTCTACTTTTGGTCAACTTTTTGGGAAATATGTGACATCTTTACCCCCCTTTTTGCAATATTTTATAGCAATTAAGGTTCATCATAACAAATAGACAAATATGGCCGTATTTTCATCTCAAAAACTACTCTGTGTACAGACTTACCTGTGCAGTTTGGAAAGTTTTAAGGCCTGGCATCCACTAGATATATAAAAGTAGAATTTATTTTGCATATCAGAAAGATAAAATCTTTTTTGGATTATGATGGGCATTTTTTTTTCGTTCCTGCAGAAGGTGTAAAAATTAACTAAATTGGGATACAACTTTGAGATGCTCCCTCTCATGTAACAGCTGGTTTGTATTGTATTGATTGTCCTTGATTGGCATGGACAATAGATATCTTCACATCTATAGGTGAGTTAAAGGTAGAAACTAAGTGGACAGTATCAAATGCAATTCAGGTGTTTGTTTGTTTTTACACCTTCTGCAGGAAGGAAAAAAATGCCCATCAAAATCCAAAAACGATTTTATCTTTCTGATATGCAAAATAAATATAACTTTTATATATCTAGTGGATGCCAGGCCTTAAAACTTTCCAAACTGCACAGGTAAGTCTGTACACAGAGTATTTTCTGAGGTGAAAATACGGCCATATTTGTCCATTTGTTATGATGAACCTTAAATGCAGATTGTTGCCATGGATACACCAAAAAGAAATTTTATTTAACCATTTTAAATACTGGAAATCAAATCTTTGGAAGATACTAGTTACATACATATGCACATATATGACACAAACAGTAGGCTTAATTTGTAAGAAAGCAAGGAAAAGGGGATGGTAAAATTCATTAGGATCAATTCTTATTTCTTTTCCTAACTGTATATTGCTACCTAATGTTTTGTGGGCTCTTTGTTTCATTTTTTCTTCTCTTTTTCTTTCCCATGTAGTTCGAGTTTTGTCTTTGAATTATGTTTTTTGATTAGCTTCCTTGGCAATTTTTTACATGTTTGTACAAGTACGACATTTATATGTAATACCTTGTCAAATAAACCGTTCACATGTTCTTAAAGCAAGCTCAAATTAATTATTGTACTGATATAGAAACAACGACACGATTGTTACGTTTGAAAATAAATGCAACAATATGAAAAAAATATTTTACAATAAATGAAATGTTGGCTTTTAACTATTATTTATATTTTCTAGGTTGGGCATCTCGGACTTTCTGGATTAACAGTCGCCCGTACAAAAGTGCAAACGCTTTTATCACAGTATCCCCTCCTGTTGGCGTGGCTTATGAAACGAACTTTAAGGTCAAATGTGGAGGTTTTAAAGATTACGAGGATGGAACTAACTTCAAGTTATATAAATTTGGATACAGGGCAGATTATTCTAAGCCATATGTATGGTTCTATGAAGGAAGTGAGTTTCAAGTAAATCATTTAAGAATGCTGGTTTTTTCTCTGCATTTATATCATTAATGTGTGATGGTTTTTACGAATATGAAAGCATGAGTGCTTACATTGTTATATCTTAGTCTTATCGCCTTGATTGAATGATAAAAAGGGGACAATTAAACATAATCGAAAGAAAAAAGACAACAGTATACACAAGCCCTATAAACGAATAGACAAACAAAAAGTACACAAAGCAATACACAGAAAACTCAAGGTTAAGCAAAACGTACCTTAGACAAAGGGTTTAATTCAGATGCTCTGGGAGAGTAAATAATTCTTGTTCCAAAGTCGACATCAGCAGTGTGACTCCTAATAAAAAACGGTGATGAGTCATACCGGTATCCGGTGACTGCGCATTATAATACAAGAATGTTGAATGTCTCTTACCTTAAGACATCATATTTATGAATCATCGGTACATGAAAATTATCTTTCCCGAAGTGAAGTTTGAAATGTAGTTGAGGAAAGAGTATAGACAAGATTGTTACCGATAGAATCTTCAAAGGCATTAGCAAATATAAACAGCATAAAATACAACAGTGAAGCAAACGCAAAATGACCATGTTTAGTTAATACTAGGGGGTTTTCATATGATTCATAAGGGTGAGCAGTTTATGTGTCACTAAATGAAACCGTCGTGTTGCTCATGGCAAATAAATATCCGTTAATTAATCGCATTTGAGGATGTCACAATTGAGGAACACAGGACGGGATTCCCTCTATCACAGGTGAAACAGAGGACGGGATTCTCTCAATCACAGGTGAAACATACCCGTGTTATTTTACACATATATTCCATAATTGTCAACCAAATAATGTTGGCGTCTTTAAAACCTTCAAAAACTTGACTTCAAAATGAAAAGAACATTTTATATATATTTGGTGCATGCGAAGCACTTTTTTGGATTTACCTTCAACAGAAAAACTCGAAAACCAAAAACGTTAAAGGCAAGGATGTATAAATACCGGAATACCTTAGAAGCTATTTGACCAAAATGAGTATAAAACGGATAGCAAAATTTGCCTAAGCCTAATTAAGCTTGAAGGAGTTGGAAACTTATGTTAATAATACTTATTTAATTTATCACCGAACAATTAAAGTATGTTTTAAATCATGTCAATACCGAAACACTAACTTCTGAGATGATGATATAATCTCGAGGGCTAAAAGCCACTAGCAGTGGTATCGATCCAATGCTAGAAAATGAAAAGATTAATATTTGAAAAAAATACTTTACCATTATAAACCTTAGGTTAAATAGCTCCCGTGTAAGAGGCAAGACAATATTTCTTATGCCGGTGCTGCTGTGATACTGCTACACCAGAATAGAAAGCTAATTTCAAAGGAAGTTAATTTCCTCTCTCTTTTATTTTATATATTTTAGTTCTAAACCACACCTCATTGTAAATTTCAAAATGTAAGTAAGGAGATGTATCAAACTGAATTATGTATTTGTTTTTTTATTCAAGTTCAATTGGATAAATGAATGAAACCAAAATAGGCACAAAACGTATTTTGAAAATCTATCGTTATATTGATATACACTGATATACTACTTTTACATTATAAATAACTAGGATATGCAGACAACTATTTGTCTGCAGGACCTATACCAGATGGCTTACCAGAAAACAGCTATATGGTAGAAATTATAGCTAGGGCTTATGATCAGGTTGGAGCATTTGCTGACATTATAACAAGTATAAGAGTGAGTTTCCATTATTATTTTTTTTTATAACAAAAATCACATGTTATTTAACGAAAATGTGCTTATCACACATTTATATACTGATTATGAAAATTGATCCGAATAGAAAGCAAGTGACGCATCACATTTTGTAGACACGCACAATTTTCATACTTTTGATAAATAGAAATAACTCGATTTAATCGTAGGTGTGAGATGATACTGGTGTCGTATTATTTATATATCTTATAACAAAACATTGAAGAAAACAAAATCCTTTGAAGGTTCAAACGAACATATTGCATATTTAAAAACAAACAAATGGAAATAATAGCTACAACACTTACAACTTAATTTGAGTAATCCTAGGAAGTGATGTTCTGGAGTCGGTTTCACAAAAAAACTTACGACTAAGATTGATCGTAAGTATACTGAATTGTTCATGACTTACGACCAATCTTAGTCGTAAGTTTTTTTGTGAAACCGACCCCAGTATTTGTGAAAAGTCAGGTTATTTTACTCTTCATTTGTCACTGCCCTGCTATCAAATCAAGTTATTTTAATGGTCGACATAGATAGTATGGCGGGAGAACCGTGAACTGTGAACACCAAGAACTTTTTGGAGGATGTTTTACCTCTTTTGCAAGATAATGGTTTCTAATTCCCATTCTTCCTTTTTTGTAATTAAAAGGTTGACCCAGCTAATCAGCAGGATGTTACAAACATTTTGGTCAATGCTACAAGTGAGACTGGAATTGTTAATAACTTATTTGTGGGCGCTGACATTAAGATAGCACCTGTTGCTAAAGTACTTGGTAAATTTCTAAACGAAGAGGCGGATAGTGCACCATCTGACCAGGAAATCATAGCTACTACAAGTAAGTAGTTCACATGGTTATACAGTCCTTAAATCTAGCCAATCGCAACAGAAATAACGTATCAATATTTTGATTGTTTATTGATTGCAGAATTTTGAGTACTTAATATTATTACGGTTTATATGTCTCTGGTGTGGTCATGTATCGAATCTAATATAGTTTGAACTCTCAAAAGAACAACTGCACTGGAATGAAATTTAAAATTTATACTATAAGTTTATTAAATAGGGAATATTTTACTAATACTTGGAATCATTATCACGAAGCGTTTATTTCATTTTAAGACTTTTAGCTTATTTTCTTTGATAAATTCTAGGGAGTCTATCACGCACACTTGTTTCGTATTTGGTGATAATTCTAATTATTAATTTAACCACATTTTTCAGCCTGAAAGGAGGCAGATGTTGTTTTTTTTTAAATTGAAAAAAGGTGATTGTAGATTATCGACTAATTGATTATTCTTTAAAAACTGTTTAAGTGGCTACGAATATGAGTGAAGCAGACCGACTGGCAATGGAACAACAACTCATAGCCGAGAGAGGGGAGGCAAAAGTTAGAAGAACAGAGGTAATTACTTTAACGTCGTGGATATAGATGTGGGTAAAAATGTGCCTCCTTGACCTTCATGCTGTTAATAGCCTTTTTTATTTCCATGACATATAGTTTGATACAGACAAAGCCCCAAACTATATAGTTGTGGGTGTACATATTAAAGTGGAATTTGATGTGCAGTGTATGTTTTGTACGCCAAGGTTTAAAACAGATAAAGGTGTGAGTGAACATAAATGGACTCACTTGAACTAAATTTGGAGAGAGATTGTTTTACGTCTACAGGGTAAGCATCTCCTGCTGCGTTTGTCACGTGTCACACATTTATAATGTCATATCAAGTAGAATGTGTCAACCCTAGGAACATGAAAAAATCACTTATTTGATTGACATATAGGAAATATAATATTGTAGATTGAAATGATGTCATTAGTGAGATGAGAAATTGAGACAATCACCCAATCAATGATGGCGACAATAGAATTTGTGAATTTTAATCGTTTTTCGTAATAACTTCGTGGAAAATTTTGGTTTAAGAGTAAACTTTTCTCACCGTATTGAGAACAAGCTTTGAGATCTCAAGATACCAGACTAGTTGCCAATTTTCTTAATGTACCAATTGTATCATATTACCGATCTTACATTTTGACGGAGTCTGGATTCGCAAAGAAGGTTAATGTTTACATAATAGGAGACTAGTACCTTGCCGACGCACTTGGTTTTGCTTCTTTTGGAGTTAATGCGATTCCGATATCTAAAAAATGGTTATGATAGTTTTGTTTATCAAGATTTACGAGTTTAACACCAGTAAACTACTGCTGCTGCTTATATGTCATAGATCCTACGTTTTTCGTCAATCAGGATTAATTTCAAGAAAAGGTGTAGATATGCCCCTGACCATTTTGATATGTTATATCCTTAATTTAAAGCTCACAGGTATATATAAGCTTTAAGTATTCGCCGAAAAAATTGTAACCATTGGCTGAAAGGACATCATTAATTTATCTTGATTATTTTATCTTATAATTTTGCTGGATTCTTGTTATCGATCTAACATTTTGATATAGATTTTATTTTGAGCTTTTGATATTGATTTGATACTGTAATTAATACATTACATATCAAATTAGACGTCACAATACTTATTATGGAATTTATTGCGCTATAGAGGACTATAGAAATGAGACCACCACCAACAAATAGATAATTTGATAACATCATCTACACATTTATTAAAAACCTGACAGGGAAAAGTAAGGTTGAAAATGACAGTGAAAGAAAATTAGCTACAGTACTGCACAAATATTTTGTTCCACAATAGTTTCTCAAATGAAGTTTAATGAGAAATATCTTAAGGAGAAACACTAAGGTATTATGTTTCAAACATGGGAACACGTTTTGTTGCATCAAATTAACATCAGACCCAAATACAATTATACCTAGGAAAATTATATATTTATTAATTAATAACTTATTTGTGATTACAAAGACCAAAATACAATCATAAATTTGAAAATTATATATTTATCAATTGATAACTTGATTGTGATTACAAATACCAAAATACAACTATAAATCGGAAAATTATATATTTATTAATTGATAACTTACTCTGTGATTACAGACACGAGCTGCTATGCTAGATGGGTTTAAGAGAATAAAAGCCCCTTCACTTGAAGCTGTACAAAATACTGCTGCAGCATTATCAGAACTAACTAAAAAACAAGACGAACTTTCAGAAACTGCTCAGGTACTTTAATTTAACTTCCTCTTCTTCAGTTTGCCTTGGAGTTAGGTATTTTTGTTATACTTTTACAAAAATAGAAATTTAAGCGACATTCAGAAAATGTTTATATCATTTTTGTATAAATCATTAAAAATCTTTATTAAAACCTATAATGAAACACACCACACAATAAAGGCTAAAGCAGAGTAAGGATTTGTTTTAACAAACGACAGGAACTCGATGAAGCTGCTGTATAGACACATACTAGATTGGCATGGCGAATCCAGATCAGTCGATATAAGTAATTAGTTTTTTGTTATTTATAGATATTGATATTTAAAGCATTTAATGCATCTTGTTTTAAGGATGCATATTTCCAACATTCACGTAAGAATGCCTGGTGAACGATTTAGTTTAATCATCGTATCCTCTAGTGTTTATTCGAAAAGTAAAATATAAAAGGACAACACATTGTCAATTATTTCATTACATTTTTGTATTAACGATATCTTCGAGCACTAAGACATAAATAAATGTATATTTCGACCGAGTTCAGCCCATGATTGAAACTATATACATTCTTGTCTCTTTAATAGATTTTTGCGCATGGCCTGTAATATTGATTTGTTTTCCCAATTAGGACGATGCTACAGAAATTTTACAAAGTTATACAAATTTACTTAGAGATGAAACACAAGTATCGGCTGATGACCGAGAGGAAACTGCAACAACTATGGTAGAAGCGTTAGGTAAAATATATAAAAGTTTAAATGAAAAAAAATTCCATTATATACGGAAATGTAGTATAAAGAAAGGCAACAGCAGTATACCGCTATTCAAAAGTCATCAATCGATTGAGAGAAAACAAATCCGGGTTACAAACTAAAACCGAGGGAAACATATCAACTATAAGAGGAAAACAAAGGAACAACAGAAACATTGAAGTGCAACAAAAACAAACGCCAACATACATAGAAACGAACTATTTGATAACAACTGCCATATTCCTGACTTGGTACAGGACATTTTAAGAAAAAATGGTGGGTTGAACCTGGTTTTATGGCTAGCCAAACCTCCCGCTTATATGGCTATGTTAAAATATATCGCTAAAATGACAACACTACGTGACAGAAATACAGTACACACATAAGTAAGAACACTCATCACACAATAAATAATATTATAGTCGATACAACATGTAAACCGCAGGATAACAACCAACATCTTCCATTAACGACAGACAGCACAGGACATCACAAACAGTGACGTAATTTTGTAACGAATATATAATCTTGAAATTCATACAATTATTTTCACAATACTAGTCCAAACAATCATCATGATAATGACGGTATTGAAAGGCTATTTTATAATTATTTGGATTGCCAATGACACAACTATCAACCAGAGTTCAAATGACGAAGATATAAGCAATTATAGATCACAGTACGGTCTTCAAAATGAAAATAACCCATACCGTGTAGTCAGCCATGAAAGGTCCCTACATATAAAATGTGAAACAATTCAAAATAGAAAACTAAACGCATAATTTAAACAAAACAATTTACGAAAAATCAAATATGACAGACATGAATCAACGACAACCACTGGATTACAGGCTCCTGACTTTGGACCGGCACATAATGGGTTGTTGTCTTATGGTGTATACCCCGTATATAATTTTATTCCTAGCTTCAACCTATCGTGTATAACAAATTCGATGAGTTCAATTTCTATGTTCCTTAAAGTATCAACCTTATGATATAAAAAAAACATCGTTAAAGTTACCAGGCTTACAGTTTTGTACATCAGACGCGCGTTTAGTCTTAAAAGACCCACCAGTAACACTCGAAAGACATTGATCTCATTCTAGCAATGTCGCTAACAGTTGTAAATCATAACTCAACTTACTACCACAGGCAAAAATGAGGAAAGAGTCATAAAGTTAACACGTTCTACATTTGTCATAATTAGTGGACAAGCCTAACTTAAATTTCGCAGAACAATTTCAATTTGATTAACTACATTTGAAATGATTATCATCAGGGCATGATCATCTCATCAGTCAATAAATTAGTTATTATGGTTGCTATATAAATATAAACAGTTGTAATATGTACTTGTAATCAGCAGTTAATGTAGTTGTATTTGCTAGGTAATTTAATGCATGCTGCTGGTCACATGTCTGAGTCTGCTGAAGATCAGTCAACATCATTGTATAATCAATACTACTCAGGAATGTCTACAACGCCCTCTGGTGTCTCGACAACAACATTAACTGCAGCCCAGTTTCAGGCAAAACAAAATGAACTAAACCGGCAGAAGACTAAGGTAAACTAATGCCATGCATATATATTTATAGTCAGATTTAGATGCTGAATAAATTCGGGTACATATATTAAAGCCTATTGAATCCTCTTTAATTTGATATTGTAGTACCTGACATACGTACACCTGATACTTGAAATTGACAATGAAGGTCGGTTGAAAACAACACTTTACGACAAAAGAGATGATTTTAGCTTCCCAATTGTGAACTTTCCATTTCTATGTAGCAACACTCCAGCTGCGCCTGCATACGGAGTATATATCTCCCAGTGATACGATATTCCAGGGCTTGTATTTCCTATCATGATTTCCTTGATAGAGGATTGCTGATCACAAGGAAGCTTTTAAAACAAAGAGTTCTAAGTGGTGAAGTTGAAATCATCCCTTCGTAAGTTTTACGGACGCCATCACGAGTTGGTTGACCGTTATGGAATATCCGTTTCACAGATGATAGTTGATATGTTCCGAATGTCGTAACCACAATCCCGTCCCCCCTTTTCCCGAATGTGACCTACCTAATTAGACTTATTACCGGTATTGTACTAGCATGAGCAACACGACGGGTACCACATGTGGAGCAGGATCTGCTTACCCTTCCGGAGCACCTGAGATCACCCCAGGTTTTTGGTGGGGTTCGTGTTGCTCAGTCTTTAGTTTTTCTGTGTTGTGTTTTGTGTACTATTGTTTGTCTGTTGGATTTTTTTGTTTTTTAGCCATGGTGTTGTCAGTTCATTTTCGGCTTATGAGTTTGAATGTCCCTATGGTATCTTTCGCTTCTCTTTTGAAACAGATTGGAAAAAATCTAACACATTTCATGCAAAACCACATTTTTGCTGTTGTTTTAATGTTGATTCCGAACCAATGCGGGTTTTAATGTTCATATAAAATGGATTTCATTGACAATGGTGTACTCCAAAACAGTAGTTTACCGATGTCCAATGCTTATAAATCCATTTAGATGACAAATTAAAGTAACGAACAAAAACTGAGGGAATCGCATGAACTCCTACAGGAGCTAGACAGGTAATATAAACTGCTCCAGCAGGGCAATAAAGAGGATCAACGGAAATCACTTATGAATTCTTACGGTCATCAACATAAATCAGTTGACCGATACGATATGTCTTTGTCTCAGCTTTCAAGTCATGTTCTGGCGGTCGGAGATATTAAAAAGTAAAATAACGAAAGTAAGTCACTTAAAAATTCGTCCGATTTAAAAACTTGAAAAAGTGTGTTCTATTCGCCATCGGCACATTCTTTTTACTGATTCTGAATTTGATTGGCAGACGATACATACAGAGCAGCAGACGCTTATCCTGTCGATGCATCCGGTCTCGTTCGATTTTGTGGACGGTGGACGGGATTTGGCTATGGCAAGAAATCATGATAAGATGGATAAATCAAGTGTCTGAACAGTAAGAAAATCGAGACAACTAATATGAAATCAGAACCGCATTCATATTTTTATGTTCTTGCTTTCAACGGAACAATTGTTAAATATAACTGTACTAAGAGCAGACTATAATTATCGGGAAACATATAATCAACAGTGATATACATCTTTTTGGTTTTTTATAATGCTTCAGGGAAAAGAAATATACACAAAAGTGGAAGCTCAGACTGACAATTTGATCAAAACAATATCCGCATACAAGGTTGTTGGTGAAAAAGACGCCATCTTAGAATCGCCAAAACTCAATATAACTCTAAGGAAAAGACTGACCATTGATATGAATGATAGTGAGTATATGTTTTATAATGTAGTAAAGAAAATAAAATATACAACAATAAAGAAAAGTAGCTTAACGTAAATTGTTGAATATCTTCTATGTAAGGACAACAACTCATATTCAAAACAACAATATTGCTAAGAAATACAAAAATACATATAAAATAATGCTTTCATGTTTTTAGAACCCCTTCTAGAAGTAGGTGGATTCTCTAGTTTACTAATGCCAAAGTCACAGTCTATATTTGGTGATACTGGTAATGAAACAACATTTTTTGTTGCAACAGAGGTAGGTACAGTTATATTACGTCTCTTAATTATACAAGTTTGAAAATAGTATCTGAATTTGCATAAAAATGCTTTATGTTTAAAATTCTATTGTTTCAAACGTTTCCACCAGTGTAGCAGGATCTGCTTACTCTTCTATGTAGTGTTTTATGGACTTGATTGTATTTTGGCCGTCTCACGTTTTTCACCATTGTGTTGTCCTTTTCTCTTCGAGTTTCAAAGTTAACATCCTTACATACGCCATTTAAATACACTCGTAGACATATACAGATACATGACTGTTAATGTAATGAATTTCTGGCTACCAATAATATATATGAACGCAACATTCGTAGAATACCTTTACTAAAATTATAATGTGAAGATAAGATGTATATTTGTTATTCGATTGCATACTGTCTTATTGACATATACCCTCATCTCCTTTTATTCATATAAACAAAATACTCATATATAGAACAACCATTGTTTTTACGCTTGTAGATGGTAATATCTAATGTTAAATAATAAGTAGTAAATTCAGGTAAATTGTATTGGTAATACAACCATTTATGTCATCTAAAACTTCAAAATAACAAATTTAACATGAAAGACAAAACAAGACTTTTACATGTATGTTATAATCGCACACTGCAGGACTATATTCTGATTTTACAGGCTTTGAGAATGACGAACAATCCGTTTACATGGACGGACACGACAGCTGGATCAGCTCAGAAAATTTCAAGCGACGTTGTCTCATTGAGATACCGAAATGATAGTGGCCTTGAAGTACCTGTTCAGGATAATTCTCAGATGTTTGATATTTTTGTTGATCGTACTAACTTTGACACTAGTGTAAATATTGTGAGGAATGTAACCAGGGCCTGGGATCAATCTATGGTCATACACAGCGTTGATATAGAGAATACAGGGTCATTGCATATAAAACTAGAACAGATTCTTAACATCACTGATATGATAGATTATATAGAAGAGATGTTTGCCAACATCGCCAATAATACAAATGATACCCAGACAGAGTTTGCACTTGAACTTAAACCAGTAGAGTGGTACGTCTTTGTAAAGTAAGTTTGAATAGAGATATTTTTATATCTAATAAAATGTTCTTTCTGTAGTCATTATAATTCCTTTTACAAAACTAACAGAGCATTCTAATCGGTAAATAAATAATTATGGTTATTGTTTTTCAAGCCCTACTGTCTTGGGCAAAACTTTGTTTTATCACAACTGTTGAGATGTATTGTGAATATCCGATTGAACATGAAGGAATTTAAATGTCATGTATATACAGTTATTGCTCAGTCATTGGGTCTGGGTTTTTTTTGGGGGGGGGATAAGGGTGATGGACACCAATTCGCTCTATTTACAGTTTGAAGCATCATGGGCTTGTATAGAGTTGCTCTATGAAATGTACTCAAAAGTGCAGGTAACAATATTAGATTGCATGATTTCATATCAAGAGAAGAAGATCGTTTTGTCAACGTAAATTATCTTATCTAAAAATCTAATAGTATTGAAACTACTGTTTCAAAATAGGTTATAAAATAGAAAAGTTACCTATAAACATATACATAACACAACCTATTCTGTCTAAACAATGTCTTATACTCCAAACATATTTCAAATGTTTGAAAAAAATTACAACCATCAGTATTGAAATGCATCTCTTTTGCTTTACTTTTTTCCTGTGATCTAGAGCAAATGAACCACCAACAACCACGGATTATGATTTCAACTGTACCCTTCCATTGTCGGATGATGCTTTAGCTGAAATGTTGTCATACATAGACGCCATGAAATATGAAAATGATACCACTGCTGATCGATCGTCTTACATTCATGAACAACCAGATAGTTATACTTGCTTTTTTACAAATAATTTCCTGAGTATGTAAGTATAAAGGTTGTAACATATTTTTTTTACAATTTTTAAACTTTTTAGAAAGTAAGTATTACAATAGAACGACAGATTCATCTACAGGTGTAAAAATCTTAGTATGTAAATATTATAACAAACACAAATGTATATAACAGCATTTCTAAACCTGACTTTAAATTTTTCGGTTGTTTTTTTCCAGCATTTTGGTCTGCATTATACGTGATGTATAAGATGATTCATAAAAAAAGTGTCATGAACACCGACTTCTATTTAAGGCGTATAAATCCATGTGATGTGTAAATATGAAAATAAATCTGTAGGCAGAGGCAAACAACTACTTTTTCTTGCGAATTTACCTGAATATTTAAATATCATAGTACACATGCAGACAGTCAGACAGACAGATAGACAGATAGATGCATTTATTTCTACACACGTAAACGTCGAACCATTGTTGTGTAACAACAGAAAATCTACAAAAGCAATAGTCAAGAAACATTTAGTTTTATGCAGCCGTGCTCCTAAATATGTTAAAGACCAGTAATCACGCACATATACATATGTATGCATGCGATTTATAAATATCTAAACATAGCCCCTTGTGAAAAGGTATGGAACACTCGTGAGGTCAAGCATCTACCAACCGACCGTCTTGTTCAGTTATTTCAGCTAGTTTTGAAAATATTTGTTTTTCAACAACCAGCACTACTTACAAATTGACTGTACTAGCATCGAATAAAAAATGACACCTTCTTTTGCCAAGATTTTCATGGGGGATCTCGAAGAACGCATTCTTTCGAGAGTGGCGTACAAACCCACATCTTGACTCTGTTTTATTGATAACATCGACATAATACCACATCTTCTTAAATCTATAAAATGGAACGATAGTGTGAAACATCCACATTTTAATATGTTCCTTAATTCTATAAAATTTACATCTGAATTTCAAACGAGAAAATTGAGTTTCTGAATACAACCATCGTCTTGAAAACGGGGTCATGATAATTGATCTTTACACAAAAAACGCCAATTTGTCTCTCCAAAGAGTTGTCACCCAAAACACTGCTCCCGGAGGATTCTTTTCAATCAAACCATCCGAACTTAACCGTTTTGGACAACTCAGAGAAAAAAAACCCGCTGGAGTCAAGATGATAAAAAAAACATCACGAAAGCTACCGGTATAGCTGAAGAACAGGCAGTAAGATCCTCCTTTAGTACAAAGATATAAAGACCTTTACAAATATAATTCCTTTTTATTGTCACTTTTAACCCGATCTGATAAACTTTTCGTCCATTATCTGCAAAAAACTGGCGTTTTATTCGAAATGACGCTTCCTTCGAGGCGATTTTCCCATTACCCTCAATTATGGCTTACCACCGATCCAAAAATTTCAAAGATATGCTAGTAACATATAACGTAAAAAAATGAATATACCCCGAAAATCGTTGTTTACAAGCCATACGGAAAAGCAATTTTAAGGGAAGTAAAGCCACCACATCCAAAAACACTTTCTTTAGTACAGTAACAAAGCAGCGATCCAATTTCTATGCCACATCTGACTCTAGAAAGCTGCAATATATTGGTGAAACAGAAACAAAATTAACACCAAATTGAATTATCATTAGCCATTTATTACCCAAGGCAGACATTTCCAAATTAAGATACACCTCTTCTGTCTTAAGAATATGTAATTCTTTTGAAAATAACACCTTTTAAATAAAAAAGGTTTACCAAAATAAGAACACTCAGCCCGCATAATTATCAAATCTTCATGGTTTACTGCCTATAAAATGTCATTTTAGTCCGCAGTTACTTTTCTGTGTGTCCAATATAGAATTCTTAGGTATCAATGTTTGTAAGCTAACCTCACAACATTCATTGGACCATAATACAGTTATACATTATACAATAACAAATTACGTAAAATAGTTATATAAGATTTTATACAATTGATCAATAATAAACTTCATACCATATCTTCTTACTTACATTCTCATTAATTGAATTTTTATAAAGATAAGACATATATTTTAATTAACATAACACATATTTTGAAAATGACTGACATTCAGACCATACTGGTTCATCTATTTCATATTTGTCTAAATATTTTTTAGAAATGAAACTACGAAATTCTACATTGGGATAAAACATCTTGTTATGAACATGTCCGAAGATCATCCCCTATATTGGCATTATTATTCTACTGAACCTCCAACAACCACGCCACCAACTACTACACCTAAAATTTATACAACAACATGCACAACCTTCTCAGGAGACTACGATAAAGGTGACATTAAAGATTGGTTGAATTCGTTTGAGAAAGAAAAAAGATGGGGAGGAAACGGAGGCGGAGGCGGAGGTGGAGGCGGCGGAGATGGAGGCGGCGGAGATGGAGGCGGCGGAGGTGGCGGAACTAAAATTGTTTGTACAAGTAAGTTTGATGTTAACTTAATTCAACAAGAATAACTCTTATAAGTTTTGTATATTTTGTTTATTTGCGACTGTAAGTTGCTTTCGCGGATGAAGCAGAAACCATATTTGGATAAAAATGTAACAGTATTGAACACCATTATGAATAACAAATTTAATTGATTATATACCAAGTGGTTCAAACTATAAGGCATATGGCAAGACTGTACATATAATGCAACTTTATTGAAGGTTTTTTTTTAAAAGAAAGAGTTATAGAGAACTTTTATATATTAGAAATAATAATTTTAAACTTTTAAATAGTAATATAGTACTGCTAAGGTACAGTTTGTCTGTATATTTTAGGTTTATAGAAATGTGCTGTTTACTAAAACAAAAGATGCAACTTTCTAAATTGACAATAGACGGATTGTTTTTTTTTTTTTTAATCCTTTGGTTTTTTTTTCTAGCGTTGAGTCATGAGAGTGCCTAATGACTTATATCTTTCAAGAAACATGTGTTATGCGCACGGAAATAATGTTATCGTTTTACCAAACTGTTTCATTTTGTTGTTCTAGTCAACCGAATGTGGTTGTAATGACGAAAAAGCATGGCATATTTTCCAAATAATATAGTAGGGAAAACCTTGGTGAAAAGAATATTTTTTCGTCACTGATGAGTCTTATGCAGACGAAATGCACGTCTGGACTATCAAATCATAAGCCTTGTATCTATGAGGTTTTTTTCGATACTGAATACTTGATTTATACACGATTTAAAGGAGCAATGGTGTTTAATTCAATAAGACAGACACCACGAAAAACAATCAATGAATAAACGACGATACCATTAGTCGAGTTCTCAATCGCCAAGAGTCTATAAAGTTATTAATACATTTAACAGCTACTTCGAAGGATTAGACATTCGTGCCAAACAGTCTGAAAATGTCTTGGTTCATTGATTGAATTCTAATATTTACCCTTCTAGAACACCTGAAATATGTTACAATTATAGTACCTGTTGCCCGAAGCTTTGTTTCCTGTTGAAAAATTTATAATAAATTGGGCAACATCAGCTTCTCTGAATTCGTAGGCAGTTCCTGCTTCATTTGTGACAACCGTCGTGTCAATCATCACAAGTTAAAAAGCAGTGGGAATATATCACATTCGATGGTGTCATTAACATAGAAACGAGGACGGAACTGCTCATGTCACAATAACACCAATTCCATTGTCATCTGTGACAGATATTTCATTATGGTCATTGAAATAATGATGGCTATCTTAATAGTGACAAAGGAATGCTTTTATTTTTACCATTAAGAACACAAGTTCCAGTAGCTCCATAACATTAACCTGATATCAAGGGGACCATAACATAATCTTTAAATTCCAGGTGTCAGATGCATCATCATTATAATTAAACTTTGAACCCATAGAACAATGAGACGACATCATTTAGGTAGCTGAAGTCAAATGATACCGATACCTTCTTTGCCAATAATTCATGTTGTGAATGCTAAACCTTTCCACTATAATCCAAATTAAATAAAAGCAATACGCATCGTTTAAACGTGCAAAAATTGACTGTGAGAATGAAGTTATATCGGTAAAAAAGGAGTCCAAAACACAACTTTATAATTCCCGTTTGGTAGATATTTTGCCATTTCAGAAAATGTTTGAAACTCAATGAAATATTCAAAGACAGCATGAATCAATAAATTCAATGTGTTTCAAATATTCTAAACTTTTATCTACAGAAATTTAGTATTTTGCCAGCCTACATAGACTGGATAGGATTTTACAAAATTTGTAAGTTGTCTTCGTTCTGGGTTTCGAATGATAAGTGAGGTCACTGATGTTGAATGCAATCAGGAAAGGACGATTACTAAATTGGTTTTGGTTATTATGGATTTTGAAGTGTGTAGAAGTAAACATATAGTATTGTTAATTTTTTTGAGTGAAAACATCGAAGTTTACATTTGACATGTGGTAATAACCTCAAATGACAGTTACATGTAAATCTGACAGTATTAAAGATAATTTTCTAGTGAGTTTGGCAGTATCACTGCAAAACAGACTTAAGATCAATTGAAATAGTCTACCTTCTAGCTCGTGGATCTTTCAATTGTAGCTTACCCAAACACTAAAACTCCGAAGGTGAAAAAACCCAAGACTACAAAACCACCGCCTGAACCTGCCTACAAACAAGCTGTCTATCGACTTAGCATATTTAGTGCCTACTGCATTTGGTGGGACAGAATGGTAGATCAATGGTCCAATGAAGGTTGTGAGGTTAGTTTACAAACATTGATACCAAATGAATCTTAATATGAATAATAAAGGCAATAGTAGTATACCGCTGTTCAATAGTCATAAATCGATTAAACTGAAACAAATCCGGGTCACAAACCAAAACTGAGGGAAACACATCAACTATAGGAGGAAAACAACGGAACAACAGAAACACTGAACTTTTTTCAAAAACAAACGCCAACATACATAAAAACGGACTATGTGATAACAACTTCCATATTTCTGACTTGGTAAAGGACATTTTAAGAAAAAATGGTGGGTTGAACCTGGTTTTATGGCTAGCCAAACCTCCCGCTGATATGGCAATATTAAAAATACCGCTAAAATGACAACATTACGTGACAGGAATACAGTACAAATAAATACAAGAACATTCAGGACAGACAAATACATAAATAAATGATATAATAGTACATTTCAACATGTAAACCACAGAATAACACCTTAAATTAATTTACGACAGAACACAAATACAGCACAATAGAATAATGAACTGTGCGTCACACGAATGTATCAACGCCACAAAAAGTGACATCACAGGTAAATTTCTAAAAATAGAATATAAAATTAGGATTAAGTTTGTAATGGTGTTATTTGATGTATTTTCTAACCATTACAAGAATAGTAATATAGAATTGTGTTAGTAATGGTGTAATTATTTGTATTTTATAACCATGTTGGTTTTTCTTCTGAATCAAACTGTGTAAAAACAAATAAATCCTGTGTATGTAGTTGCTTTAAACTAAAAATCATATAAATGAACTAGGTGATTAATATCTTTACTTTTACCAAGTCAGGAAAATGGCCATTGTTATATTATAGTTCGTTTCTGTGTGTGTTACATTTTAATGTTGTGTTTCTGTTGTGTCGTAGTTCTCCTCTTATATTTAATGTGTTTCCCTCAGTTTTAGTTTGTAACCCGGATTTGTTTTTTCTCAATCGATTTATGAATTTCGAACAGCAGTATACTACTGTTGCGTTTGGTACTTAGAAGACCAGACGACATAGATGGTAAACCACAATCTAAGACGTGGTAAAAATGTCGTTAGTTAGTTTAGACACAGACACATCGTATAGATCAACCAATTCGTGATGGTGTCCATAAAATGGATTAAGGATACATGTTCGATGGGGTATAAGTCATTGAACTCCACTATACTAAAAAATCAAATGACATCTTGAGGTCAACAAATGGTTTATAGATAGAACAAAAAATGTAATTAGAAATCATTTCAGAAGAAGCTTTTAACCATATAAAGCCGATATAAAAGACAACAAAAAACAAACAAGTACAATAATGTGAAATATCTTATCGAAGAATGATGTAAATTTAAATAAACTAGGCGTAAATTTGTTACAGGTGTTAGACAGTTATTATCTTGCCAGATTCATATGGCAGCGTAATATATTCAGGTGCTTTATTTGGAAAAATTTAAAATTGGACTAACACAATGTCAGAATCGTATTGATGAATCAAAATCATAGAAAATAGAAAAATAGTATGGCTATTAATATGTCCGTTAGTAAGTTAGTTGTTTGCATTTGTTCGTAATTAAAAATTACAATTACAGTTTAGAAAACATCTTACACTTACTAATGATTAAATTTAAATCCTGTTTTTGTTAAATAAGAGGCACTACTAATATTACAGTTAAAATGACAAGGAATGAATTGATTCAAATTATTTAGTCAAAACTTTAATTTTATTTCCATTACGAAGAATTGACATCATTCTCATTTTAGATTAAAATAAATAGCCCTGTGTCTTACTAAATTTGTTTTTTTTAATGGTTTTTTGATGGCTTATATTTAAAGTTTTATTATAGCCAATAAAAAATTGTAAGCAACAGTGCAGGTATATATCAATTACATAAGGTACACATGAACAGATGCATTTGCCGTCTAAATTCTAGAAAAAATAATGAAAGCTTCTCTAGCAGAGTTTCCTTTTTGTGATCGTGTATGCTCTGGTAAGTATTATGATGAACGTCTCAGATTCAAAATTATTATTCTCATAAATTACATCTCCATGGTAAAAGAGTATAGTTTTGTAAAGAGCAGAATCTTTATAAGAATCTTTTCGTACGTGTCATAAATTTTTTAAAGCTATTTCAACAATAGTTTGACCCCCATGAAAGATGATTTGTAAAATGTAAACCAAAGTGGTTGTGAAAATCGACTTCTTTTTTTTTCTTTTTTTCCCAAACAATAATGGTTGGTATTTTTGATTTTTTAGAAATATAATATATTCAGGTTTTTTTGCATTTAATGTAACACATCATAGCTTAGGCAAGCTATTTATTTTTCAAGATTTTTATCTAAAATGTTCATAACTTGGGTATTACGTATCAGTCTTTTAGTCTCATTTCAAATTTAAAATAATCGAACTATTAATCCCTAATAATACCAAAAATCAATTTTTATACAACAAACGTATAAATATATTTGTAACCATTACCAGTCCTTTAAGCTAGTAGGACATAATTACATGTCTGTTTGACTATTGTTAACTTGAAAAATGCAAAGTAAAATATTTTAGCATCTCAGTTATTTTTCATGTCGAATGATTTTACGTACTTAATTGCTTACCGTTGCGAATATATCAAATGATATACAATACTCATCATTCTGTTTATGTTTTAGGTCGGACCATTATCTTCACCAGATCGCATCCACTGTTTATCTAGCCATTTAACATCGTTTGCCGCTGGGTTCGCTGTGCCAATGAATACTATAGATCTCAACGATTCAGCATTCACAAAATTGGACGAGAATCCTATCATATTTTGTACAATGGTATCTTTGATGTGTCTGTATATGCTTATGTGTATCTGGGCAAGGAAAAGAGATTTAATGGACAAAATCATGGTAAAAACAAAATCCATTACTTCATCCTTTTGTTTGTTTGAGGTTTAAACAACATTGTTTTCGTCTTTTTCTATTGTGGTTGGATACAATCAGTTTCTCCATATCTTTATCTATTGCAAGTTGATTAAAATTAATTTTGTCGTCCTTTTGTCTGTTGAAGTTGAAAACTATTGTTTTCTTGGTCATTTTGTCTATTGCGAGCTGATTAAAATTCTTTGTTTTGGCCTTTGTCTATTGTGAGTTGAGAACAAAGGAATGAATTTATTTAAGTAGTCTAGTGTTGTAATGTGTGCAGATTGAATTGTTTTTCAAAATCCAAATAAGTGTTTTTGGGTCCCTTTAAATTGACCAACATTACATAAGCGACGAAAGATAGTTAAGACTGTGTGGGAGTTGTGTGTGGTTTTGGGAGGATTGAAGAAAATGACCCCCTTACTTTTACTGTCCATGAATAACTGCAGGTTTAGGTAATAATTCATTTATCATGAGTTTCTAATTTGCGGGAAGATTGAATGTGAATGTTATATCGTTTAAATTTTTGATCAATCGATCTCTGCAGTATCTTTCATGTCATTACTATACGTTGATTGTCGTGATAGCGTAAGCCTCATTTGAAGTATATTTCAGTGTGCAATTTCATAATGGCATCGAACGTCTTAAGAATATTTTGGATCAGTCACAAAATCTCTCATTAATCGGAAGAGTAGATAGTTAAAGTATAATGATTTGACAATATGAAAAAATATGTACAAGAGGTTTTAAAAACTAATTTTCTTTGAACGCATATTGGTGTTGAATTATATTTCAAATTAACCCAGGTTTACATGTATGTACATAAGCGATAGAAATTAACCTTTTACGTCATAAACAAATCGAATAAAAAAGCCCGCTAGTAAAACAAATACATAATTGTAAACAACGGCCCTTTACTCTCAATATATAAACTTACGATATAAACCGTTTTTTTCTAGGCTGGATCGTCACCTCTACCAGATAATGATCCTAGAGATAAATATCTATATGAAATTCAGGTCTTCACAGGATCAAGAAAAGGAGCAGGTAATGTCTAAAACATTTCATTAAATCCACAAAAAAAAATTGATTTAAAACTATTATTTGTGTGTAAATATTATTTTCCAAATAAACCACAAAATAGTATAATTTTGCAAAACTTAAAGCTAACACTAAACTATGGAACATCTGCACAAAATTGAATATAAATTGTTTTGCAATGTCTACTGTTTAACAGCATTTACTAGGGGTGAATGCTTTTAATTGTACACCCGCAACATGAGAAGTATATACAGTAAATACCCTGTAAAACGTTTGTAATTTTTGATTTTACAGGTACCACAGCCAAAGTTTCCTTTATACTTACTGGAGAAAAAGAAGAAACTTCCCCGCGGTTTCTTGCTGATGAAAAAAGACCGGTATTACAATCATCTAACATTGATGGGTTTGTTATGGCAGTTCCTAAGCCACTTGGGAAACTAACACATCTGAGGTACATGGATAAGCAGTTCATTTAGGCTGATTAAAAAGGGTCGTTCTTTTTTGACACTGTCGTAAAGCCTTATTAAGGGCATTATAAGTAAAAATAAATCGTCCTTCATTAAACGCATAGTAACTTGGAGCTACCTTAAAATGTATTTCTCTGATTCTTCATGCATTTAAACTGATTCTTGCCATTTGTAAACGTACTTGATAAACCACTTGTTTGTTCAAATATGTTCTGAACATTAAACTCATATGTGTTCTCTAAATTTTGTATCACTCTATAAATTGAAAATATTCTTTAGGCATGACATTTATAAAAAGGTAACCAACAGCTACTGCGTTGCAAACTGTGTATATATATATATATATATATAATTGACGTCTTCCATACACAACATTACTAATATGTTCTGGATCCTGTTTCAACAGACTTTCACTGCCTTCTATTTTTCAGAATTTGGCATGACAACATGGGCAGTAATCCACCGTGGTACTTTAGTAGAATGCAGATAGAAGACCTCATGACAGGGGACAAATATTTCTTTGTGTGCGAAAATTGGTTATCACTTGACGACGATGATGGTTTAGTATGTAGAAACTAGGTTACACTGTTATAAATAATTAAAAACGGCATATTGAAACGCCTTTTATCGGAATAGCAAATACAATTGTTAGTTATTTGGTAAGTCGTTACTGCAAGGATAAATGTTGTTATGGTCCAGTTTCACTTTAAAGAATATTAAGTCATTCTAATGGACAACTGTTTTCCATCGTAAAAACTCATCAATAATATCAGGCGATTTTGGCAGACAGATTAAATTAAGCAATGTTGCTTGTTTATGGATTCTATGACATGAATACCGAACTCAATGGTAAATTCAAAAAGGGGAAGTCCATAAAAACTGACAAAATCAAACGCTATCAATCAACAAAACAAGTGAAAAACAACTGCCGTATTCCTAACCTGGAACTGGCATTTTCCGAAGAAAATTGTGGGTTAAACATACATTATGTATTTTCTTATATAGCATCATTTGATTTACTGAATAAAATATTGTCCAAACAATACCAGGCTTATAAATTTGTATGTTAGACATGTATTTCATGTAATTAAAGATCAGTTGCTTTAAAATGAAAAAAAAGATAGATGTCAAATCAAACATAAAGCTGAATAGCATTGCAAGCCAAAAATTAAGCAACCTACATGAACTACGACTTAGATCATATTTGCCGGGGTAGAAAACCTTAGATTTTCGAATAATTCAAAATGTTATAAATAGTTATTTGACTGTACCATGTAAGGAATATAACAGTTGTTTCAGTTCGTCACAGCATTAATTTAAAATAGCCTTTCAAGACCTTCATAATCATGTTAATTATTTGGACTAGTATTGTGAAAATAATTGTGAATTTTTGGATCTTGTTCCATTTAATTGTATGAATTTCAAGATTATATATACGTCACAAAAATACGTCACTTTTTGTGGCATTGATCCATTCATGTGACGTGCAGGTTGTGGTATTGTTAATGGTAGATGTCCGTTGTTATTCTGCGGTTTACATGTTGCAATGTACTATTTTATTATTCATTTATGCATTTCTCTGTGCTGAGTGTCATTGCGTTTGTTTGTACTGTATTCCTGTCACGTAGTGTTGTCATTTTAGCGGGAGGTTTGGCTAGCCATAAAACCAGGTTCAACCCACCATTTTTTCTTAAAATGTCCTGTACCAAGTCAGGAATATGGCAGTTGTTATCACATAGTCCGTTTCTATGTATGTTGGCGTTTGTTTTTGTTGCAGTTCAGTGTTTCTGTTGTTCTGTTGTTTCCCTCGATTTTAGTTTGTAACCCGGATTTGTTTTCTCTTAATCGATTTATGACTTTTGAACAGCGGTATACTACTGTTGCCTTTATTTATGGACTTCCTCTTTTTGAATTTACCTTGGAGCGCGATATTTGTGTTACACTTTTTTAAAGAAAATATTATGCATGGTAATATCTACAAGATGAGTTTTAGAGATTTAATGAGGGATTTCAAATTTCCTTTGCATTTCTTATCAGCAAGGTCATGTTCAAAGACTCCTAAAATTCAAATAATTATATTTTTATGTGTTTACTTTAAAGCTTTAGTCAAATAAGTTATTATTCCATTGGAGTTAGGTAAACTAAATAATGTAGACGAATATTAGTGACTAAGGATAGTTCAATGATAAGACACAGTATCTGAACAAAGTAATAGATATCAATCGTATATTTTTAGATTGACAGAATGATACCAGTTGCTGGTCGTGCAGAGCTCACCAGTTTTAATTATCTTTTCTGGACAAAAACAAAATACAGCTTAGCTGATGGTCATCTGTGGTTTTCTATCTTCAAACGTCCTGCTAAAAGTAATTTTACTCGCATTCAACGATTAACCTGCTGCTTGTCACTACTTTTCGCCACCATGTGTACAAGTATTGCATTCTACAAGTCTGATGAGGGGTCAAATCCAAAGGAATATGGCGTAGGCCCAGTAACGATAACTCCAACAGGATTATATATAGGAATAGTCAGCGGCTTAATATGCCTGCCAATCAATCTATTGATTGTAGCATTATTTCGGTATTCAAAACCATTTCCTAAGAAAGTTGAAGAAACACTTGCATATCGATTTTATAGCAAGTTTTTATGTTTTGCCTGCGTCCAAAAGAAAGTTCATGGTATGGACGAAAAACAAGAGGAAGAGGAAAATAATGATATGGTTGAGAATGCAAAGAAAGCAAGAGCAAGAGAAAAATCGGATCTTGACGCGGATGCTGTGAAAGTAGAATTGGAAAATGAACTTGAAATGTTAGAGAAAGGCGAATCATTTGATGATGGTGAAGATAATGGAAAGAACAACAGTGATAGGAGTGTTCATCCACCTCCAGATAAAGATATGAAAAAACCATCAGCAGAGCTGAATCCAATTCCTAGAGCACTTACATTAAAAAAAGATGACAAAAAGAAAAAGCCCTTTAGACTACCTTATTGGGGAATTTATATCGGTTATGTGATATCGTTTTGTACTGTAGCTGTTGCATTTTGGGCAACAGTGGAATTTGGTGGCGTGTTTGGACCAAAGAAATCGTTAGAATGGCTGGTGTCCTTCTTTATATCCTGTTTTGAGTCCATTTTCTTTTCACAGCCAATAAAGGTAAGTAAATAATACTTGAAACCAGTTTTAATCATATGATTTGATTTTTTTAAAACGTGACTATTATAAACACTAAAACTTGAATTCTAAAATTTATTTTTGTTTTTACTAAAAACGCTTGAATTTCGGATATTGTTTTATTATCAGAACATGCAACAGCATACACATTCATGAATAATGAATCATATTTCAGGTGATTATCATAGCCGTCATCTATGCAGTTTTTATTAAGAAACCTGAGGCCAACGATGACGACAATGATAAACAGCTTGAACCTGGAGAAGAATGGTTGCATTCACATATGACCGAGGAAGACTTGAAAAATCCCGATAAAAGAAAGGAATTAGAAAAGATGAAAACATCAGCACCTCTGCCTCCAGAGTTGGATTTCCTAAAGACGGCAAGGGAGGAAAGGTCATTATAAGAACAATAGTGTTGTTACATTGAACTTACAATTCAACGATACTGCTGTTTAAAAATAATTTTTAGTTAGATTTACATGATTTTTCATTAGTGTAATAAGTAAAATAACAAAATTACCGAACTCCAAGGAAAATTCAAAACGGAAAGTCCCTTATCAAGTGTCAAAATCAAAAGCTCAAACACATCAAACGAATGGAAAACAACTGTCATATCCCTGACTTGGTACAGGCATTTCCTTATGTAGAAAATGGTGGATTAAACCTGGTTTTATAGCTAGCTAACCTCTCACTTGTAGGACAGTCGCATATAATCCATTATATTGACAACGATGTGTGAACAAAGCAAACGGACATAATAAAGAAAAAAAAATCAAAAATAAGGGTACAGTAAGTAATCAAAAGTTTTAAAAGAGAGGCGAAAGATACCAAAGGGACACTTCAACTGATCATCAAAAGTATCTTGCTTACTCATTATGTGAGAGCTCAATGTTACAAAAAAAGAGAGTTAAATCGATATTGTTTTGAGAGAACCGTATCCAAAGAGATAATATAAACAATATTGTCTTTTCATTAATTAACATTAAGATACCCCAAACTAAGATAACTCACTGTTTTACGTGTTACTTGAAATGTCTGCTCAGCCTCGGTGAAGCATCGGAATAAAAAGCAACTTTGGAATAATTAGTTGTCTCGTTTCCTGTGTTCTATTATCAATATAAGAGAGAAAGGGACTGTTCTGTCCTACTTAGTCAAGGAAACCTAGCTGCTAGAGAGCAAGCCATGTAATTAAAGAGACACTAGATATTTTCCATGCTATGGTTTTATATGTTATTCATGTTTTAATTTTGTCTATTTATTTAGGGCTCATGAGATGGCAATGTATTCCTTGCTGAAGGAGATAGCTATCTGTGTGTTTTTCCTGTATTTTGTTTTGATGATAGCCTATACCAACCGAGATCCGTGGTCATATAATCAGTACACTACCTACAACAACATGTTTAATCTAGGATCATTTTCTCCATCTTACACAGTTCAGTTCGACCAGGTAAAAGATCAACAACAATATTATTATCATTTAAAATCGTTTATCTATATTTTTAAAGTGTTCTTCAATAGAAGCTATTAGTATTCAAAGTGAAATGTTTTGAAATATAATTTGTATATTTGTTTATTGGGATTCTATCTCTGAAACTCCTGCAAAAAGTACTCTTGATAGTCATAAGTCTTATAGATTTCCCAAAAATCTAAACATACACAAATCCTAATATGTTTTAAGCACGCCGTACCACACAGGAAGTTTCAAAATCAATAAAATATGAACTCGAATTAAAAGAAAAAATGATATTTACAAAAATACAAAAAATACATGTCTATAAATAAATATATATATATATATATATATAACATATAAATTCATAAAAACAAATTGATTTCAAAATAAACTTTTGATTTATAAAGAGAAACACAATACAACAAAATCAGATTAAAAAGAAATTCAACTTTCATGGTTTTTTCTCTGTGTGTAGAACGTTAATTTACAACTCTCCGTAGATAAAATTGTGAAAACTCAAAACAATTCCCTTATACTATAATTAGAAATGTGTATTACTATATTTTCAGGTAAACTCGATTGCCCAGTTTTGGAATTGGACACAAAATGCCTTACTAAATAGTCTGTATTACACAGACTGGTACAATGGTGATGTTTTCTCAGATAGCTCAAGTCTAATACAAGATAAACAAACTCTACTGGTAGGAAGTGCTAGACTACGTCAACTTCGAACTATTCCTTGTAAGTATTATTCTAAATAAAAGGTTCATAGAATGGTTTCAATTATTGTAGCTTGTATTTCGTTTTTATAGAAGTCCACAAGGAAACAATTGTGATACCAGTCGAAAATTACGATATTTCTAAGTTTAAGTCTATGTTGAATAATTGTTAAATGCATTATATCTGGAGATTAACATATGTTATTGTACGGTTGTATCATGTAGATCCACTCAATATATTTACTAACACATTATATTTGTTTTCAGACAAATGTGTTGCCCCTTTAGATTATTTAATAGAATACTGTAGAGATGACTACAGCTCTTTCTCGGAAGATAAAAAAGACTACAAACTAAACTGGGATTCTTTAAATGGCTCAGGTATGGTACTACGTAAACTATAGTATATATATACCAAGACAATGTTAGTGAGTGATCGCAAACTTTTTTAACCAACGGAATGACAATAGGTAGTCTACATCTATAGTATAAAATAAAAAAAAGTAGAACAAAAATACCAAACTCCAAGGTAAATTCAAAAAGGGGAAGTCCATAAAAACTGACAAACCAAACGTTATCAATCAATGGTCAGATATCTGATTAAAATCATGTATAGAAATTGTTTATTATGTCTTTGGTTTAACACATTCATTAATTCTATATGATTTTGTGTTGGCTTTAAAATTTCACATAAAACACATCGACTGAGCAATTTCAGCTTATGTACTTGTTGAAGGCAGGTGACACGTGCATTCCTTTGAAAACTTGCAAATTTTTCAACATTTAGTGTTCGCGTGTATTGAAACCACAAACGTCTTGACAGCGGCCTTAGATCAACGCAAATATATTTATATTACCTTGTGATTGTAAAGATATTAGAATTATAAAAAGTTTATCACAATGAGATGACACCATCGCATATTGGAAACATGACAAGAACATACAAATCAGTTATCACGAATACATATATTCGATATTGGTATTCAGTTCCGTTTGGTCAAGTCATTTGCAAAATTTCATAAAGATCCGATAGATCGTCCTATAAAGTATCTGTTACAGCCAAATCTATGTCCTTCGAATTTCTTAATACTCTACAATTTTAATTAATATTTACTGGAAGTAATTCAGCCCTATAAAAGTCCCATTGAAAACAATACACAATTTCTAATAACGTATCAACATTTCGTGGGACTGCCTTATTGGACATCAGCCACGAAAATTAGCTGTCAATGGGCATGTGACCCCGTTAGAATTATAAATACATGTAGATATTCCTTACAAATGATCAAAAGCATTAATTTCTATATAGATCTGAATCCCTCATATCTTAAACTCGACGTATAAATTGTGTGATGTGTAAAGTCGGTATTTGATTTTCCATTCCAATTCTAATACTTTTTCTGTAAGTCTTTCTTGCCTGTCAAGTAAAAAGTTCTGTTCTTGTGATGAAAGCACAATATTATACATTGATACTTATCTACATTGAAGATCCCACAGATATCCCAGACAGCCTATTCAGCTACAGTAAATCAAGTGATATAGATGGATATCCGTACTGGGGTATATTTTCTACTTACGGCGGTGGTGGCTATGTGGCAGATCTTGGTACTACCATGACGGATGCGTCTACAGTGATTGATACACTTATGAAAAATAACTGGGTCGATAACAATACTAGGGCAATTTTCATTGAAGTCAACTTATACAATCCTAATAATAATCTATTTGGCATCTGTCTGTATGTCTTGGAGTTTTTACAAACAGGAGGTATATATTTATTATAGAATATTTATTAAAGCAAGTCGTTTCGTTTGCATTACCAATATTTCAATTTGTGAATAGACGCCTATTGATGACTTGGTTTGTATCATAAAAACACTGATTTTTGTTAAGCTCTTACAAATTCAAACCACAAAATAAATTACAAAACCAAAGTCAGTCAAATAAAATCTTGATGACGATTGAAATAAGAAGAATGAAGCATGAAGCATCTGAAAATTAAATAACAACAACAGCAGCCAAAGCTCAATTTTTATTGTGGTGGTGAAGTCGGTCAAAATTTCCAACTTCTACTCAGCTTGGCTTTTAAAGTAAAAGTGGCGATTAAAAGGCATGGAATTTTACTGCTAAGCACTCATACAAGCATGAAACTAACAATTAATGACGCTTGATTTGTTAAGTCCGTCATAACTACAGATCACCGTACGGCATTCTACAATGACCAAAATTATTATATATATTAAGCTGTAAAAGACCTCTGCATGACAGAATGTTAAATAAGTTAAAACAACAGTCTTTATAATGCTGAAAACACTAAACGCTAAACGATATTATTGCAGACGGCATCAAACAACAACCACGTAATGACAGGCTACTGAATTAAGATAGGTATATTTATAAAGAATGTGGCGGTGTTAAACATGTTTGTGTGCTCTCAATCATAACGTAACTATGCACGAAGAATTCAAAAGTAGTACGTGTTCTAGCAAAACAAATTGTAATCTTTGAAAAAGTACCCGCTTTATGAGCATGCTTCATATATGTTTTTTTGTGAAACTGCACATTTTCGTGAGTTGAAAAGCCAAACAGTCGAATTTAAAATGAACTGTTTTGTTTTCAGGTATTGAACCATTTGAAAGATTCTTCATATTTCGTTTAGACCGGTATAGTAATGGATTCATGTATTTTGTTATGGCTATTGAGCTTATTACCATGGCCTTCGTTATCTTTTACACTGTTACAGAAGTAAAAAAAATACGCAAACTGAAGACAGAGTATTTTAAGGTAACTTTACTCTTTAGTTCACTTAATAAGCTAAACATGCAAAGTAAGTTATAAATAAAAAGAACATCTAAAGATTTTGTACTTGGTTTATCATACAGTTTTCTCATTTGCATTAGATTCTTTTGTTAGCTGTGTGATTTGAACAATGAAAAAACAGCAAATTATACAAAAACAGGAATGTTTTGCCTGAATGACTAATATATATATCCTTCCTTCCCCTATAATCATTCATTACTCAAAATTGGTTACCTTTTACTATGCCGCTTTCACTTGATATCGATGACGTAATTTCTTCGTATCTCCGAGTTCAGAAATAGGACGTCTATCATTCAATTTGCTTGATGATCAATGTAGATGACATTTTAGCAGAAAAGTCAAGACGCTTGTAAATTTGAAAGTAAAATTTGCATTTTATGTTAAAACCTTTTTAACTAACTTTTGAGGGCCAATTATTTAAAATCTAAAACACTGCAGATGGGATAGCTTTTGATCTTGTTGATAGTAGGCATGTTTATATTCTTTTCATTTTATCACGGGATTTTCGCAGTATGGTATAGTCCGGGAAATTTTTTTTTTTTCACTTCTACCTTCAATTGATATTTACTTTTTGAGTTTTGGACTTCCAACTAGTTCGTGATCGAAAAACAAATCTTTATCTTGGCATGCAAGTGCGTCGCATGATTATTTTTCCGGTGACTGATTATAGGTTACACGAATCTTTGCGCCATTGAAAGATACAAATGAATGAAAAAGCGTAACTTTTTGATATTTCACCTCGAAAATCTTTTTGTTTCGGTAGTTTATTCATCATTGGTGTCTTACAGAATCGTGATGATTGTGTTCCTTATAAGCAAACTAAATTATGAAATGCCTTATCTGACTTATTTATGGTAACACGTGACTATATATGAGTCACTCATATATATTATCAGACTTACAATTTCAAACATATAGGCGAGTTAGAGCATGTTTTAATTAAAAATCGGTAAATGCTAAAAAAAAGCATTGATGATCTGTGTAATGTATTCATTTCAGATATTTTTTTTAATCCAAAACAGACTTTTAATTTTTGAAGGTCATCGTTGACACGTGTGGTTTATCTTGATACCGGTTAAACCATCACTAAATTGATATTGTCGTGTCAAAATATGTCGAATGAACAAAACCGTGATACAGGAGTTGGTAAAAAGCTGAAGAGAATGATATAGTCCTTTATTTGGCCTTTTTAATATTTTTTGATTCGAGCGTCACTGATGAGTTTTTTGTAGACGAAACGCGCGTCTGGCGTAAATATAAAATTTCAATCCTGGTTTCTATGATGAGTTTATAGACATAGAAAATAATTTACATAGTAAAGTTTGGATTTTGTCTTTAAGATGAGCCTATACGAAAAACAACAGCTAATTCTATGTAAATTATCTCATATACTAGATTAGACGCACATACATTATACACAAAACATTGTTAATGATTAAACAAATATCAATAACAGAACTTGAATTTTGGTGGCTGCTTGTCTCATTGGCAATCATACCACATCTCGTTATTTTTATATTATTAATTTTCAGGAGTTCTGGAACGTATGGGAACTGATTGTATTAGCTATAGCTTATGGTTTGGTTTTAGTTTTTATATATAGAAGTGTTATAAGTGTGCAGATGATGAAGAAAGTTAAGGAAAATCCTACAACGTTTGTTAATTTCTTCTTTGCCATTGTTTGGGACGAGGTAAGGGATATTCTCGTTATATATACAACGATATATTTTATAAATAAACTCATCATAGATACATGTATAGCTCTCAAGATGCATACGTTGGAATATATTATCAACAAAAGACAATGCAATTGAACATGATACTATATCCTGTTATTTTCTGTAATTGTTTGTGCTTCTCATCCACATTTTAGGATAGGAACTTGTCTATAGAATATAACATAAAACATTACATAAAATAGATGTAACTTGCAAAGGAAGAAATGTGGGGTCTGTAAAGCTTATGGAAAATATGTTAATGACAATTGGCCAATTAGTTACTTTTTATGAGTTTTTGAAGTTTTTCTATTGTATCTTGGCTGAAATTGTTCAGATAAAAAAATGGAAGGTGAAAAACTTAATGTCCTGTTGATTAATCAGTCCAGGTTTAGGTGGAATTCTGTCAAGCACTTTTCAAGCCTATTTTTCCTAGATAAAAAAAAATGATGGAATGGAAAGATCGATCGAAAAACTGGTTCAATAGAAATAGCAACGTTCGTCCTTCGGTATGGGACTCCAACAAAAACACTGCATTAAAAAAGATTTAAAGAGAAGGTGCACAACTTCGTGTCACGTAGAAAAATCTGTAGAAGTTTTATTGAATTTTGTAAAGACGTTTTTCAAGGTTTTGCGGATAAGCAAACGAATAACCAAACAAATAAACAAAAATTGCTAATTCCATGTTTTTGTATGGGAAACCCCGAATATCAATCTGATCATAAAAAGCTGATTAACAGCTCATGTCTTAACTAAAATAGTTACAAGCAAGTTTGGCTGAATTTTGTGAATCCGTTTTCAGAGGGTTGTGGATTAACAAAGTATGACGCGGAAAACGACGGAAGTGATTTCAAATTATTCTCTTCTGTAAATTTACGTTAGACAAAATGTTGAGAACTATTTGAAACACTTAGGTTTTGCTACCCTAAGGTATAGATTGTCTTGGCCGTATTTGGCACAACTTTTGAAAATTTTCTGCTTTTAAAGATTTACAACTTTGTATTTTTTATTTGGCCTGCCAACTTTTTTAATTCGAGCACCATTGATGAGTATTATGTAGACGAAAGGCGTGTCAGCGTACACAATTATGAGCCATGTATTTTGGATGAGTTTTTTTCGCTACAGCTTGGCTGCCAGGCGATACAATGATATAACTCTCATATGACACAGATAACTTTTTCGTTAAACGAAAAATTGGACAGGCAAAAAACCAAATTTCCTCAATTCGTTTTTGATCCAGGGACCTCTATACCGATTCCTACTTTCATGCTTATTTGGTGACTTAAGTGTGGCATAAATGTCCCAATATATACCAAACTTGACAGAAACATTGTATCACAAAATCAATTTACGAATTGTTTATGAAATTCATACAAATTTTGTATTTCGTTTTGCAGTCTACAAACAAGATATAAATAGTCGGTTGCTCCAATTACTACATTTATTATATTGAGTGACATTTAACAATATACACATTATTTCTACTTGTAGTGCTGTGGATATTTCATTGGGATATTAGCTTTTATGGAAACACTAAGGTTTTTGAGACTTCTTCGATTTAACAAGAAAGTATCTCTATTTACTTCGACAATGATGTATGTAGCCAAACCACTGCTGAGTTTTGGTGTTGTATTCATGTCTGGATTCTTAGCATTTTCTACAACAGCTTATTTCTTCTTCAATACTTACATGTTTGACTTCAGAACATTTGTATCAACGTTAGAAACGCTGTTATCCATGATGTTAGGTAAGTTAATGGAAACTAGCCTTCCTATATTTCTATACGGCAAAGAGGATTTTCTGAGAAAAGAGTGCCAGAAAATAGCAATTTCATGAGCCGGAGACAAACTTGCTACGTCATGGCAAAACTGAAAAAAAAAACAAACAACAGTCTACAAAACACAATATAGAGAGATAAAACATAGGCAACACGATCCCCCCCTAAAAACCGAGGGTGATATCAAGTACTCTGGAAAATGTCAATGAAACATCTACCTACAGACCTGCTGGCGACGTCTGATTGTTTTATTATATATTTCAATTAAGACTTGTATTTACTAATTTATGGTACATGAGAGCGGATAAAGTTATATTTAAACAAAAAACCCGTACGGTGACTTAATATAATTGCTTAATTCCTCATCAATTGGACTATGATAGATAGTGAAACAGTTAAGTATATGCAGCCATTATTTACCCCTTCCTGTTTAATTTAGGAAAATCTTAACATGTAAGATTGACAGGAATCTTTACCAATCACATTCTAGTATTTGTCTTATAAAGAACTGACAAGCAGTTCATTTAGTTAATCCTTCTTCCCCCTTTTGTATCAGCAATTACAGTTGCTGTCGTCCTATCTTAAGTTCTCTGTTTCTTTATTCCCTGAGTTTTCTCCAGAACTTCTGCCTCGCCTCTCCTGTTAACTCCTCATTTGGTTACGGTCTTCAACAATTTATTTTATCAGACTATTCGTTTTATCTCCTTAAAAAAGAGGCGGAAGATACCAAATGGACAATCGAAATTCATAAGTTGAAGAAAGAATGAAAAAACAAGGGAAAAAATGAAAGACTACGAAAGGACAGGAGATGCTGGAACTTTTCTTCACAGAAAAAAGTGTTGGTTTCATTTACTACCACTAAGTCAATACCGCTGTTTGTAGACTGTTAGTCCTCGAGGGAATCACCATCTATTTAGTCCGTGCTATTAACATATACTTATTTAAACTGGTTTTATCATCTGTTCAACATTTATATTACTAGGCTCTGTCTGAACTTTTAATTATCTAGCATCACTAAAGAGAAATTAATTGTCGAAATGCGCATCTGGTGCAGTAAAATTGGTACCGCTAGTAAAATTAGTACCGTTAGTTGAATTGGTATTGTTAGTAAAGTTAGTAACGTTTATGTTATCAAAATTCCTTGTTTGTATAAAAAAAAATAAGAAACTAGGGTTAAAAAACGTTTCGTTGGCATATACTTATTTAAAGTTAGCTGACTTTTGCTATTTTGTTTAAGTCCTATTTATTCATATAGCTTCTAACGTTTCGGTGTATTTTTGCATCCTGGCGCCCAAATGATTAGGGATGAACGTTCCTGATGAAGGAAAATCCAGAAAATTCGTGAACTGCTTGAGAATTAGATTAACAATAAATTGTTATACAATGTGCCTTAGGCAAACAACATCTGAATGAATATTAACACTATAAGGCTAGGAAAATAGTCAGTAATACATTTTGTTTATATTTGTTTTTGGACTTGTGATTCAATGCACAGTAAATGCAAACGGGGAAATGGTTGATTGGGATGTGCGAACCGATAAACTTGTTGATCAGTGTTGATTTGGAACCGATTAAAAGATTAATTGGCGATCATTGTGCGAACACAAATCAACTATTTATCAGTTCGAAGAAAACTCCTTTCAGCCATATTATCAGTTCGTATTCACCAATCAACCATGTCATGGTTCTTTTATTCCATACATTGGGATAAAGCAAAGGGTACATTTTAGATATTTTCTATTTCAGGTAAATTCGATTATGAAAAGGCATGGACCACTACAAGAGTCGCGGGACCAATCATCTTCGGAATGTTTGCCCTATGTTTTAATTTTATACTGGTGAACTTTTTTCTGACAATTGTAATTGATGGTTTTGAAGTGGTCAAAAGTGATTTATCTAAACAATCAAATGATTATGAAGTTGTAGATCACATGATGAAGAAAGTGAAAATGCTGTTAGGTATTGATGTGCCAAGAAAACGGAAAACGGGATATTCAATGGATCCAAGACTGAACATATATACATATATAGAAGGCATGTATCTAATGTAGTGGTTTGGTGCATACATTTCTTATGTGTGAAATACACACAACCACGTTAATATGTATTTGATATAAAAACCGCCAATAAAAACATAAAATTCGGTAAAAATGTAAAAGTTTTGTAACTTATGCCTAAAGTACACACGCTAAAATAACCTGCCTGCTTTAAATTTACCTGTCATCCTTGAATTGTAGGTTTAAAGTCTTTATGATCAATGTCATAACATGACAGTATCAAGAATACATGTCAATGAGGTCAAGGTTAGATGAACCCTGTCAGATGGGCATGTTTGCCTTACAATCATTCTATACACAAAATATACATAGTGTGCCAATTCTTGTAGTATTTGAGAAACGGACTTAATCACGAGAAAAGTGTCGACCAATGAACCATGAACATGATATCAAGGTCAGATGGTCCATGCCAGACGTACATGTACGCCTTACAATAATTTATATACGGTTGATAACGATGATGATGAATTAGTATTTAATGGCTAAAGGCAACTATTACACTCGTGCGAACTTAAAAATCAAACGATAAAAAAAAACGTTATAAGCAGTCACTGACCAGAAAACGAGTTCAAGGACAATAGAAATAGGCCAGATGTAAACTTCAGATAATGAATCTGTATACGTGATATGAACCATGCCTTCAAAAATATAAGGCTTTAAAGAATTAATTTAAGCTTCTGTCGGATAAGCATTCCTATGTCTCGAATTCTGCGTTGGAGACAAAAATCAATGATAAAACTAGACCAAATTTTTCCCCATTTACATAACACCAATACCAAGTAAATCCATTGGCAAAACAGGATATGCAATCAGAGAAGACGTGTTACAATTGTAGCATTTATTTGAAGAATATTGAGTTAACCCTTTATATCAATTTTCAGGTAAAACTCCAGACCAAGAGTTGTGTGATGAGTTAGATGGTAAGGTTCAGAATATGATAGAGAGGTGCAATACACTTGCTGAGTTCCCAGAAGATGAGGACCTAGAGAAAGAAATTCAAGAACTTAAAACAAAGAAAAAAAGGAAAATTGTTGTTGGACAATGATTTATTAGCTGGTGTGTGGCTAAAATTATGTTACTAGTATAACATACTTTTATGGAAGTTCATCCAATTGTGCCATGTTAACAATTTATGAAAAATCAGTACATGTAAAAGCTATTTGTCCTTGTAATTTTCCTAGTGTACTAAACTGAAAGCGATAGATCATATTTACGTATAAATTTCTATACATTTTCTTATTTCAAATAAAACTAGTAAAGCATTTTCCGGCATATTCACTTTTTCAATCTAGCACTTGTATACTAGTTCTTACTTTTACTCAGTAACAGTGTTCCTCTATTTATGTGTTAAAGTATTTTTTGAGAGGGGCTCGTAAAAATATCACATTTTAAATTATGTGGGGTATTTGATCTTTCTAAATAAAGGTATTTTCATTGAGAATTTAGTAGTGTGAAGGCCAGAAAAAAGTGCCCATTTCAGATTCATTTTTATTATCGACCTCATCCGAGGTTTTGATCATCCAAATTTGATGAGGATAAGGAAAAGAAAAAGAAAGCACTAGCATGAAGAAAAGAAGTAACATATGGGTTATTTTTATTGGTCATCCAAAAGGAGCAAGACTGGTGGGTGAGGAGAGTAAGCGTTTTCTGATATTAATGCATCACCTGCCATGCGAATGTGCCCGGTCAGAATGCACAATCGGTAAATTTACAGATCAGACTACTATTCTGGTTTCTTAAGATCTAAGACCGCAAAATCAGGAGGGTGTGGGTATGTTACTGCTGAGAAATGGGAAGTTGACAATTGGAAAGTTGAAATCGTCATTTTGTCATATTCTTGGGTTAAATCATATATCTGTGTCAATATCCAGGGGAAACATCATTCTATGAAGCAGATCTTATAGTTGTAGCCTTAATAACAATTTCACTGGAATAAAAGAACTTGTGCTTGAATGTGTATAATTTAAGACAGGACATCATCAATATATTGGAAGAAGGTTGTTTATGAATTCTGCTTCATATCAGTAAAAAATTAACTCGGCCAGTAGGGGTGTACAATAAGTTTCCATCGGAATGTTCCATTTAAATATCAACCCACCAAACTCTACAAATATGCTGTCAATCAAAAAGCCCAGCATTTTGATGATAATATCTTCGATAAATCATACTGGCTTGAATTGGTTGTAATAATTATTATTTTATTTTATTCATGGTCAATGTGTTGCATGATGGTGTTTATATAAATATTGTAAGAATACGAATAACATTAATGTCTATGAGATTGCTATTAAATCATCCACGAAAATATAAGTTCACTACACAGACTACAAGAAATGAACAACACCAACACTGCATGATAAGATTCAATTTTCCCCAAATTTTGACAACCATTGATGAGATTCCGGACTTGTAATTCTCAAACCTGTCTGAACCGGAATGGTCATGCAATGAACAGTCTTCACTATAAAACTGGAAAAAGCCACCGCCCAAGTATTTTAAGTGAAGACAGTTTCACAGCATTTCTAACATACTTGAACATGAAACGACTTCAAACAAAGTGGGTCTAACTACATATCCAACCCATTTTATAAAAAACTAAAACTTTTTTTCTTATAGGACATTATAATATTTAATTTCTGTAATAACACTAACCTGTACCAATTTTACTGTACCAGATGAGTTTTAAGAAAAATAATCCAAAACCTAATACAAACATTGAAGAGCTGATGCAACCAAAAAAGACAAAATGTCGACAAGGATTCTAAGCTGTGCAAGAAGGAAATACTTTACTTAATTTCAAATGATTTCCTAAGTTTATAGCGGAGATATCAGATATCATTCCATTAAGGGACAAATTCTTTAAAAGATTCATATTCAATTTTGTTTAAAAAGTAATAAAGGGTCAGAACTCTTTAAAAAACATGGAATCAAATAATACAACCTTTAATATATAGGACAACAGAAGAGTTCCCTTCAATAAGTGAACATTACAGATAAACAGGATTTATTTTTTGCTTTTTTGGCAAAACTGGAAGACCGGAATTAATCAATCTTCATCGAACAGTTTACAGTGCACATGATTATCCAATTTAAGTTTTATTCAAAAATAAGCATAATGTATGTATCTTTATGTAAACCTCTTGTAAACTTGTTATCTGAGAAATCAAAATTCGATTCAAGCATCTAAACAAGCTTTGCACCAGGAATCACCATGGTTTTTTGGTGGGGTTCGTGTGGCTCAGTCATTAGTTTTCTTTGCTGTGTTTTGTGTACTATTGTCTTTTGGTCGTTTTTCGTTTTCGCCATGGCATTGTCAGTTTGTTTTCAATTATGAGTTTGAATGTCCCTTTGGTATCTGTCTCCTCTCTTTTTCAAAGTATGCTAGATATTTTTTTCTCCCAATTGTAACATGTTAAAAACATAACAAATAGAGTAGACAAAAGAAAATCATAATATTTATTTTGTAAATTTCACAATAAATAAATTATATAAACAAATTATAAATATTTTTATCACATCAAAAATAAGGAATGCTGTTTTAGGATTGTACAAGCATTGTTTGATTAAATAATGACCAGCAACATTCAAGAGAAAATAATACAAAATAAATAAAGGCAAGATGTGGTGTAATTATACCAACACTGATGTCCCTGTCCTAATATGGCCTCCACTGTATCACTTATTGTATGGTAACTTAATAATCATTGTAGAAGGTTACCAAATGAATGATATTGCACAGTAGTTACATTAATGTTTTTTTTCATTTTGAAAGTTTTGCTTTACCAAGAAAAGGGTTATCTGTACTGCATAAATAATACTTCAAAATATATTAATTACATGCTGTTTCCCAAAATTTTGTGTTTACTGAACTCATGTTATCAATTATGAACTTACATCCTAGTCTTAGCTATCATGTGGTTAAGAGAAGTCTGCTACATGTAGGGACTATGATATTAAATACCCTAACAATGCAGTGATAATTCATGAAATACTTAAAAGCTCATACAAGCTGGACATTGTATAAGTATTGGAACATTGTTTCAATGAGTCCACATAAGACAGGGACTGTGTTACTATATGTAATGGCACTAATTAATTTGTCATTGTTAGTTATGCTTTAGTAAAATAAATCAGCACCATTTTGACTTAGAATAAAATGTACAGTTCCCAAATATTTTGATTGAACAATACCTATAATACTGATAATTTAATCTGGTTGATAAATTACACCCATAAACAGTACATGTTCAAAATAAGGCAAATGGACAAATAACATTTAGTTAGAATTTAAAAAAAAATCAATATATTGTAATAATTAAGCATTCTGACCATAATCAAACATAAATTCATTCATATCAATTAATCTCATGTAAAAAAGTGGCTACATTTTCAATAAGGGCTATTGTGCAGTTTAAGATGAACTTCATATTTGATTACTTTGACCCTATCATCAAAGCCTATACATAATGTTTTAATGACAAACAAAATAAGTAGGGCCAACTAACAAGTAAGTTTGGTTCCTATTATGTGCTTTAAAAAATAAAAAAACTTCTGCAAAATCTGCAATAAATTGCTAAACATAATGGAAAATTTTATGGATATTTGTGTAAAAAGACGTCTACTTTTTAGTTTTTACTTGTCTCGTAGTAGGAAGACAAAAAGATATTTGACAATTCTTCTATGTTTAGAATGTTGATACAAAGTGATAGAGAGTATTATCCTGATATTAATCTTCCTGGTCTCCTTCTTTCTCTTCTGTTTCTTCCTTGTCTTCTTCTTTACTTTCTGGTTCTTCTTCCTGGTAATAATAAAATTAAATTCATAATGAAGAATGAAAGATGATACACCATAATGAGATTAGATTATGGCACTGCATAAGGAGATTACATGATTGATTGATTGTTGGTGATAAATGCCACTTTAAGTATGCTGAGCTGTATTGCAGCAGCCAGACTTTATTGGTGGAGGAAGCTGGAATACCCTGAAAGAACCATAGACTTTCATCAGGAAAACTAGCATTTGTTAATAAACAGATGTATCAAATGTTCTGAATTAATCCAGCATAAAAAATTACCAATAGTGCACATCTTATACTAATTTTACTGATAAACACATCAACATTTACACAAGTCTAAATCATTTTCACAAAAATATCAGAAAACTGACCTTTTTCTCTTCCTCCTCCTCTTTTTTCTCTGTTTCATCAGTTTTCTGTTCTGATGTTTCCTCTGTCACCTTTGACATGTCTTCAGCAGGTTCATTTGCCTCCAAAACAGGGGGAAGTTTTGTTGATGAACTCTCTTTCAATGCCCTCTCTGCATCAGCCTAAGGATAGACAATGTTATGTAAATACAATGTACATACAATTCAGATGTAAAAATATAAGCTCATGGGCACAACATATAAGCTGTGATATTATTCTTTATTCCTATTCATCAAATCGATAAAGCCTTTTATACAGTCAGTTTGTATGCTACTTAAAACATTAAATCATCTAAAAGATGTGTATGACATGATAATGAAAGGAACTAGGAGGAATTATAGGGTTGTACAGGTAGCAAGATTACTGGCAAATTTCACCTGTATTTCTTTCCTTCCCTGAGTTGTTATTTTCCCTCAACTGGCTCTTCTGGATAGGTAACTCCATGAACAATTATTGTAATTACACTCTTCTTACATAAATGACCCCCCCCCCCCTCGCCCCTTAACCCCAATTTCTCCTTTCTTATTTTTTGTTTTTGTAGTATTGTAATTACAATCTACTTAATGACCCCAACCCCCAAAACCCCATTTTCTTTTTGTTCTGTTTTGTGTTTTTTTTCTTGTAATGTAGTGATGGTATCTACTGTAAATTCTATAAGTAGAGGAAATACATGGGATAAAATGTCAGACAACAATCAAACACCACAAGTTCACCGCAATGGTATCTAGAAGTCACCATAAATGCACAAATGGACAAGCAGCAATACTATATGACAAGATCTTATTTTCTGTCAGTCTAAAGCAACTGTTAATTTTCTTTTTTGCATGTCAAAACAGTCAACTAAATTGGTCTTAGTTTCACTCTATCACATGAAATTCTTTTCAATAACTGAACTTGCTGAGCACAGGCGAATTAAGTCAAATCACAGGTTGCATGCATATGGATCTAAATGAGGTTGATTAAATGTCTTGCAAGTCAATAATGTATCAGCAAAATTTTTTGGGGTTATATTTACAAAACTAAACCAAACTGACTGCAAATAATGAATAATTATTCAATAGTTCTTTCTTGTAAATACTTGAAGCCAAGAAGTTTATTTATTTCAACTTATATTGTCAAAATTGTAGATAATGCTCCTTTAACCACAAAAGATGAAAGAATATTTTTGTTCAAATATGACTTCACAAAACAACAGTATTCCCTTCCTTCTAAACAAACAGACTGAATACAGTACAGGCCTGACTCAAGAATAATTATATAATTATACACATATAACATGTTACAATACGACTGTCTACATGTACATGTATATACCTGTCTTCTCTCTTCATCTTCTTTGGCAATCTGTTCTGCTTCCAACTTCCTTTTTTCTTTCAGTTCCTCATCTTTGACAAAGTTCTTCTTTTCTTCTTCTAATTGTTCTAGTTCCCTCACTTTCTATAATTATTGAAAGGATAACATGTCATAAGCATTTTAAATGTTGATGAAATACAGTTTAGTTTCAACACATATACCACCAATTACCAAATATTAATAATAATAACAAAAAAGTATAAAATTGAGAATGGAAATGGGGAATGTGTCAAAGAGACAACAACCCGACCAAGGAGAAGAAAACAGCCGAAGGCCACCAATGGGTCTTCAACACAGCGAGAAAATCCCACACCTGATGGCGGGCTTCTTGGTGAAAAAAAAAACACAACTTACAATTGATATCTGCATAACACCTAGTCACTACTGGTAAAAAATGTTTACCTTCCTTTGTACCCCGCCAATATTTAGATCTATACTGTTAATGCAGTTGAAAACCGAGACCACTTGTTGTTCAAGTTAGAAATCCTTAACCAATAAAGATACACGATACATTTGTACATAATTCTTCAACCTCTGTTGTTTGTTTAATAGGTTTTACAATAAGATAGAAAATACATTGTGAACGGAAATTAAAAAAACATTAAAACATTTTGTTCACCTTTTTAAAGTCTACATTGATTATGTATATATTTGTATTGTATATTTTGATATTGTCTAGATTCATCTTAATTTAATAACCCAGATGTCAGAGAAAATAATGTCATGCAGTAATCAGATAGAAGAATAGGTTCACAAAGGGTGTATGTATTTTTTTGTCCTAAGATACAATAAACTGTTATCACAGAGATATGTCTTGCCTTTTTGTAATTTTGATAATGCAAATGTTGAAATTAAAATAGCAATACTTTAACATGTAAGTTATGCAAATATTCAAAGTCGATGAACCATGACTGAAGGTACATGGGTAAACAATCTCCATGGAAAGAGATGTGCCAATGCTAATACAAATGCATACCAAATACCATTGACTTATTATAAGTCGTTCCCTTTAAACAAACCTAAACACAAACATTAACTTGTAAACTATGTAAAAGTTTCAAAGTCAATGAACCATGATCAGGGGTGGGGCTATATAATCTCCATGGAAACGATACTTGCAAATGCCAATAAATTTGCATACCAAATATCATTGACTTAACATTAGCAGTTCATCTTAAACTGAACTAATCACAAACTAATACATGTAAACTAAGCAAAAGTTTCAAAGTATATAGACCATGACTGAGGAGGCGGGGCCAAATATTCTCCATGGAAATGAGATGTGCTAATGCTTATACACCTGAACACTAATTAACATTGGCCTGCCACTAATGGTTACCCTTGAACTGACCTAATCACAAACTAATACATGTAAACTTAGGAAAATTTTCAAAGTCTATAGACCATGACTAAGGGGGCGGAGCCAAATAATCTCCATGGAAATAAGATATGCCAATGCTTATACAACTGCATACCAAATATCATTGACCTACCACTAGTGGTTCCCCATAAATTGACCTAATCTCAAACTAATACATGTAAACTATGCAAAGTTTCAATGTCAATAGACCTTGACTGAGGGGGCGGGGCCAAATAATCTCCATGGTAATGAGATGTGCCAATGCTAATACAACTGCATACCAAATATCATTGACCTATCACTAGTGGTTCACCATGAACTAGACCTTATCACAAACTAATACATTGTTGACGACGCCGCCGCTGGAAACAGCATACCTACATGTATGTCTCGCTATTGACTCCGTCAAGGGGAGACAAAAAATGTACTATATCATACCAGTATCTATCGTAACCTTTTAATGAAAAAAATGCTAAAATATTTGGCAAATACAAAATCAACCAGCAGATTTCAATCATAAATATTGTTTTTTATATAACATTTATAATATTTAATTAAAAGTAAAGTCTCTAACCTCTGCAGCATGATTCTGATTTTCCATATACTTATATAACCATTGTGCTATATATTCAACTGGATCCCTTGGTCGTTTCTCTGCTACTTCAGCTAAACATGCTGTTAAACTGTTCCCTAAGTGCTTCTTCAGATAGGTAGAGTCCATTTTGTATTATACCTAATTTGAAAGACAAAGTCAAAATATAATACATCATTGAGCAGTTCCGATAGTTTTTCAGTCAGACGCTTCAAATATCCATAAATCTCGCGAAGTCTCGTAAAGTTCGGGATTTTATCAATTTTATACTGAAAATAATATGTACAGATACTTTTAATACAATTTATCGGTCTCATCCGAGTGCTCCTAGACAGGTCGAGGGAACTACGAAAGAGAAGAAGAAGAAAGCCTATCAGATTCATATCCCATTAGATATCATATACTGTTCCTAGGTAAAAGGATTATGGTAATGTTTAGCATCCAGGGATCTCCATGGATGAAAATTTAACGATAGAGGAACTTTCACCATGACAAAACCCCACGTCTACAGTGTGGCGTGATCGAAAATATTTCATTCCTTCATTTCCATGTAAGGAATGGTGAACAGGATGATATATTGCTTAATATATTTATTTCATTATAGAATAACAAATATTTTCATTAATTGTCATTTGTAACAATTCCAATGCCAAGCCTGCATTGCTCCCCCTTAGTCAATAGTAATATACTATGCAACATACATCTATCGATTCTGTATGAAAACTGAAAGACTGGATGTATCAATTTGATTGTAAACTACGAAATGAATTCGAAATTACAATACGAAATTTCTTCAAATCATAAAGTTGCAGTTAATATTCATGTATTTACTTTTAAACTTGTAAAGTGATTAAATATTATCGATACTTGCTGTACTCGTGTTATTTGGCATGAAATTATGTTCAGTTTTTCGTCTTATTTTGTACTTGTTTAAAAAGGGGGATGCTGGTTGTGTAAGTCAAAATAAAAGCATGTGTTCGACTTGTATTATGTAAAACTTTTTTCTTTGTTACTGGATTAAACATTTATTTTTTTAATCTAAATTTTCATTAGCATTTGCTGAAACGTAATTAAATAATGCAATCAATCATCTATCTGGATCAAGTGATCTCCTGTCAGGTGTGTCGATCTACCTGTACAAGTGATTAGTGATCTTTAGCCGGATATCCCTCAGGGCTTGAAAACTGTAATCAGGGGGACCCTTTGGATTATAATACAAAAAGCTTAAGGGTTAATTGATTATGATTGCTAACAAAAATGGCGGCTAGATCAACGAAAACAAATTTTGACATTTGCAGGTATCATTTGACGATGGCAGAAGATAATTTAACAATGGTGGGGATCATTGGACGGTGGCGGAAGATATTTTAACACTGCCATCATAAAACAGGTCATGGAGATCCCTTATACAAGTGAAAACAACTCCGTTTCTACTTGGTGTTCCTAATTGGAAGGAAATACGAAGAAGAAGAAGAAGAAGCATACATGCATATCTACATATCTTTTCTTTATTCGACTCTGTATGCTTTTATCAAGAGGATGTCCTTTCATTAACTGTTAAAAAAAACCACGTGTCTGACACAATTTGTCAAAACATCATGTCAATATCTACTTTTACTGTAGATTATAAGAAATTAAGATTATAGTACACTGTTTGAAGAGATTAATCTATATCAATTAAATGTGTTCATTTCATCTTTATAGTGCAATACGTTACCTTTTGATTTTCGACTGTAAGTTAATTAAATTCAAATTAAAAAATATTATCTATCAACAAAACGTTCTGCGTGTTGGTATCCAACCGGATGTTTACGTATAGCCTCGAACAAACCTTACTTCCTTAGAAACCGTCTGGGCGTCACGTTGTCAAGTGGATTTATCAGCTGAAGATCAACGTGGTTGATACACGACTGGTGACATTTATATCATCAAAGATGCCGACCGAACAAGATCTATACAATGTTATTGACACCAATGAACCATGGAAGGGAAGAATGCTATTTACAGGTTGGACATCATTAGAATTTCAAATGAGATATAACTTTACTGATTTTTTATTTATTTTAAATGTCTGAGAAAAAATATGCTAAATTAAAATAATAATAATAGATTCTAGTTCTGTGTCAATATTTAAATATATTATCATTGGGCATTGAAGAATTTGAGTAAAAAAAAAATAAATGAACATTGATCAACATTTCTCTGTGTCAGAGGTACCAGCGAGGTCGAAAGTAGCTAACGTTATCTATGAAATTATTTTAACTTAGAATAATATTAATATTTATTTCAGAATCAAAAGGTCCATATATACATAACACAATTTTTTCTGTTCAAACAGGATCAAATGTTTAACTTTTTCTATAGTAGTTATTATACTTAAAAATTATCTCTTATTTTATACTGAACAAATAATACGAGACGTGTAGATAAAGAAACAGTAAGTTGTTCTGTGACAGTAAAATTTAGAAGCAATTTCTTTCAATTGAATGTAAATACAAATCTAAATTGATTCCAGTGATGCCACTATCCTCACTTTAATCTCATAATTACCATATGTGGTTGAAATGAAACCTTAACTTGATCTGAAATGATATTATTAAAGCATAATATTATTTTAAATATTAGAAAAATAAAGTGACAATTTCCTTGTAATGGATACTGTAAAGGCCTAGACAAAATCAATTCTGTGTGGAGACTACTTGGATTTAATTTTGTTATTTCAGTTGTACTTTGTTTATCAGTTTTATTGCCGTGTAATAAATAATCTATTAAGTGCTTATAAATATTAAATATACCCACCGAGACTTCATTGATTTTTTCCGTTTGTAACAAATTGCTTACTACCCATACATGTTCATAATTTGAAATCTTTCACACATGTAGAGTATAGCAAACGACCCCCCCCCCTTTTTCCAAAAAAGAAAAAAAAAACAAACCAAAAAACAAAGAAATGCGAAGGTTCATATGAAGACACTCTTCACAAAAAACGTCAAAATCATCATGTCTAGAAATTAGGTTGTTGATATGAATAAAAGTAGATATGTGACTTAAGTGAATGGCATCTCAACAACAACAAAAAATCACACCAAGTATTTACCATGGAAAGGACAAAAATGGAATTAAACAAAAGCAGTCAAGGTTCCTAAATTTGAAAAAATCACATTAGAATGTCGTTGGGTTAAACCAGTGTGTGGATTTTAAAAAATCATGAACGTGATTTGTATTGGCTGACTTATGGTCCTTTCGTTGGAATGGTTTTTGATAAAGCGTTTCTATCCGATAAAAATCGGGATTTCGTCAGTTTTGAAACCATCAATTTCACATGGTCACAACGAGTGTGTCCCGTATATATGCATGTATGCCTATTGACGACTTGATCCCTTACAATTATTATACAATTCACGAGTTTGTCTGGTTTACTCATATACATTTTACATTGTAAATACGGGTGCAAACTATTCAGTTTATAAGACATGGTTTGTAGATATAAAAAGATGTGGTATGAGTGCCAATGAGACAACTCTCCATCCAAGTCACAATTTGTAAAAGTAAGCCCTTATAGGTCAAAGTACGGCCTTCAACACGGAGTCTTGCCTCACACCGAACAGCAAGCTATAAATTCGAATTGTTGTAAAAAGTTCCTAAACGTCACTTTTCTCCGGTTATATATATGTAAAAGTAATAATCTCTCATTATTTGTCGAGCCTGCGACTTTTGTCGCAGAAAGCTCGACATAGGGATAGTGATCCGGCGGCGGCGGCGGCGGCGTTATCTAACTTCTTAAAAGCTTTATATTTTAGAAGGTGGAAGACCTGGATGCTTCATACTTTTTAAGTTTCCGTCTGTCACATGTCCATTGTCCTTGACCTCATTTTCATGGTTCAGTGACTACTTGAAAAAAAAGTTGAGATTTTTTGTAATGTTAATTTCTCTCTTGTTATGAGTAATAGGATAACTATAGTTGATATGTGCGTACCTTGCAATGTCCTCATGCCCGTCAGACAGTTTTCACTTGACCTCGACCTCATTTCATGGATCAGTGAACAAGGTTAAGTTTTGGTGGTCAAGTCCATATCTCAGATACTATAAGCAGTAGGTCTAGTATAATTGGTGTATAGAAGGATTGTAAGGTGTACATGTCCAACTGGCAGGTGTCATCTGACCTTGACCTCATTTTCATGGTTCAGTGGTTATAGTTAAGTTTTTGTGTTTTGGTCTGTTTTTCTTATACTTTATGCAATAGGTCTACTATATTTGGTGTATGGAATGATTGTAAGGTGTACATGTCCAACTGGCAGGTGTCATCTGACTTTGACCTCATTTTCATGGTTCAGTGGTCAAAGTTAAGTTTTTAAGTTTTGGTCTTTTTTCTAATACTATATGCAATAAGTCAACTATATTTGGTGTATGGAAATATTTTATGATGTACATGTCAGTCTCGCAGGTTTTATTTGACCTTGACCTCATTTTCACGGTTCATTGCTCAGTGTTAAGTTTATGTGTTTCGGTCTGTTTTTCTTAAACTATCAGCAATAGGTCAACTATATTTGTTGTATGGAAGGATTGTAAGCTGTTCATGTCTGCCTGGCATGGTTCATCTGACCTTGACCTCATTTTCACGATTCATTGGTCAATGTTTAGTTTTCTTGGTTAAGTCTGTTTCTTAGAAACTATATGCAATAGGTCAACTATATTTAGTGTATTGAATGATTGTAAGGTGTACATGTATTTCTCGTTTGGTTTATATGACCTTGACTTCATTTTCTTGGATCATGTTAAGTTTATGTAATAGTTGTAGTAAAGCTTTCATTTAGGACTATCAACATAATATCAATGGTTAGTAAAGAAGGCGAGACATTTCAGCGTTTGCACTCTTGTTTGTAATAAATACAGTTAAGTTGACAGTCTAACGGAATTGCAGATTGAAATTAGCTTTAAGCTGTTTTTTTTTACCTTGGTTACATGCTCAAAAATATTTCATGATATTGTTTGAAACCAAAAGTAAACGCATAGACGGCGTGCATAAAGCTGAGTCCACAAACGTAGTTATAAAGATGTGATTCTGTGCATTGAAATTGGTTAGTAATGATCGGAAAACTTTTTGAAATGAAATGAGGAAAAACTGGCACTACCTCTGTCCACGAAATTTGGTCCTTTGCTTTATGCCTTTGGGAAATTTATAATGATTGTTTAATAAATGGTGAAAATCAGTATAGGAAAAATAATCAAGACTTACCATTACCTTGTCTTCTAACTTCTTCGTGTCTACACAAATATCTTCTACGTTACAGTAATATTCAACGTTGCCATGATATTAAGACGTATTTTAGATATAAATGAACCAGTTTAACATAAATTCTCAGGTCCTGATGCTACTAAAGATCACTTGATGACTGTCGAGCAGGAGCACAGACAGGTCGGTATAGGGACCATGTCCAGAGAAGGAACAAGTGAGACTGATTACCTATGGAGACCTGCAACTGGTACACCTTTCCACAGACCCAGAACTAGTAAAGTTGGTGAAGTTGGCTGGGGAATACCTAAAAGCACCGACTGGAAAGTGTCTCGAACAGGGAAACAGATAATGGTAAACATACATTTTACTACCACTTCATTTTAAATCTGGTGGATAGTTGTCTCCAGTTGAAGGCTCCAATTGTAACTTACAAAAATATTTCATTCAAGGCATTTATATTTTGAATCTAAATCTGTCTTGTTTCCATATAATCAACAACGTCAATTTTATATGAATGTTTTACCCGCACAATTAGGGGAAGTATTTCTAAATATAGGCACTAAGGTTGTTGCGATTTAGGAAATTTGTAACTATTTTGTCCCCAAACGGGAGACATAGTCCGCTAGATTATAAGCCGTCTTCCGTGAATTTGCCAATGGACATAAACAACAATAAATCTTTGCCAGTGATATAGCTAGCTAATACACAATGATAACATCTGGTTCTTGTAGTCGTACTGCCAAGTATAACTCAGAGTTTCATGTTTTCAAAATTATAATTTGCAATAAAATATATTTATTTTGCAGCTCGGAGAATTTCGGCAAGCCTGTGAAGACCGACACTCACATCTATACCAAAATGCATGGTAGGTTTTCAGTGTTATTGACACAAAGCAAAATCAATAAAAATCACTTTTAAGATAGATGTGCACATACAATTCATGAGTCAAATATAGATAAGAATAAGAATAAGAATATTTATTATTCCAATCAAGGGCCCTTGATGGGCAGCATGACATGTACACATAAATCAATACATCATGATTTGTAACAGAAAAATATTTTTTTTTATACATTGAAATGAAACATTAAAAAGTTCAGGCATGTTATTATCTCCATTCTATATAAATCACACACATTTAATTCCAGGCATGACCAGAACCATAAAATCATTACAATTATCATTGTTATTACATACATTAATTTACATTTCGTCTAACATCTAGTTCTCTAAATATTTAAGTACAGAAAAATTTTCATTAGTAAATAACCAAAAAAATTTTGCCTCATTTGAGAGATATGAAAAATAAGGACCAATACTGTTTATCTCCTTGAAAAATATCTCCCTATCATCTTTGTATGCTGGACAACTTGTAATAAAATGTTGTTCATCTTCAACCAGATTTAGAGTGCATTTCTTACAAAGCCTTTGGTCTCTTTCTATATATAAAGTTTTATACCTGTCTCTTTCTATTTTGAGATCATGGGCACTGATTCTGATTTTACATATGGCACTTCTCAATTGAAAATTGTTTAAAGATAGATACATTTCTTTAGAAAAACAAGTTTTTAGTTTGAAATAAATATCTAATTTACTACTCTTTGTATCTGTTCTTTTTGTATAGATATGTTAAGATTTATAACATAACTAAAGTGTATCTTACTGACCACAACCATGTTCATATCTGTGTGCACGTTCCAAGTTAGTTTCATAATATTGATAACCGCTTCGGTGGTATCGTGGTAGCGTGCTCGCATCGGATGCGGGAGATCATGGATTCGAACACTGACCAGCTCATACAAAAGACTTTAAAATTGGGGTTTTCCGTTTGAATGGTTTTACACTAGTAATTTTTTGGGGCCCTTTATCAGGGCCTAATCTAGGATTTTGAAGAGGGAGAAGTGACTTCTCCTTCCAAGAGAGAGAAGGGAGAAGTGGTAAATTTCTTGGAGAAGTGAGATTCCATTACCGTTTCGGTTGCATCGTGTTTTCGTGCTTATCACTAAGGAAATTGTTTTATATTCAATAAAAGATATACTTGCAGTTTTTTCATATGTTATTGTACACAATGTATATATAGAAAGTTCTTAATAAAAAGGTTTAGACAATATATAGTTGTTATTTATTTATTTATTGATACCATTGTGTTCTATAAAATAAAATTTGTTGATTGGGACATGAGGGAGTAGCCTAGTAATAATATCATGATTATGATGCATTAAATTCATGTGCATCTGCCTCAATTTATTTTTAAAATTCCAGAAAAAATATAACTCCCAGTTTTCCTGTTGAATTGCACATGACTGGGAATTTAATTTATATCACCACTTGTCATTATTTTGTAAAACATTATTGAATGTCCAGGACATTATGTTAGTTGTAAATTGAGATTATCGTTAAAGATTGTAAGTCTATAAATGAAAATATTTTTCAATCGCATATTAATGATCCGACAAAGGGCTAATTACTATCATTTTTTAAAAATATCATCCATATCAACGAAATGGTCGTCAGAAACAATCCACTGCTGATCATAACCTGGTCGAGTGTCGTACGTTTGCCATCACATTATCCATCAGCAGTCTTTCTACCTTTTATATTTCAATTTTTATTCAATCAATATAATAAATCTACCGTTAATTCCAACCTTTTACCTACCGAATAGTAAAATTGATCGATTTGTGTAAGTTGTAAAAATAAAACAAATCAGCTGAGTGATTACGCAACATCCTCAGATGAAAATTATCGTAATATGATAACTTAAACAGACGGTCAGTTTTCCGTTTGAACAGTTTTGAAAGTTATATCCGAGGATGTTCAAAGTCGCCGTTGTATTTATTTAATTTGATCGTTGACAGTATTAGTCCTGGGTCGTTTCGAAAATCTCGAGTTTCCTTGTCAGCCGCCATTTTTTTTAACTGGACCCCTGCTGTTGTTTCAATCTTATCTACACGTGTGTCGAAGTATCAATCAGCGGGTGGCCAGTTAACCATTTTTTTTACCTGTGAGACTTGTCAATCACAAGTTGTCTCCCTTTTACCGATTTTGATAGCGATTTGACTTCGCTATGAAGTCAGTCGGCCGGCGAGATTTAGCGATTTTCAAAATTCTTTGGCGACTTAAATCGTCATTTCGCCGGCAAGATTATGGCCTGCCCTTTATAGCTTGCTGTTTGGTGTGAGCCAATGCTCCGTGTTGAAGGCCGTACCTTGACCTATAATGGTTTACTTTTATAAATTGTAACTTGGATGGAGAGTTGGTCTCATTGGCACTCATACCACATCTTCCTATATCTATTTGCTGCTTTTCCGCTAAGCATGCGGCATTAAGGAGTGAAAGCAATGACTGGTCGGCTCGGATTCAGAATAATATGTCCGGGTAAGGTGACATGTTCATTTGTGGACTGTTACCTTGTGAACTAGCGTCTTAAAAATGCGATTCAGCGAGTCGGTCTAGTACAAAGCAGGGTTAACATTAAAATTACATTAACATGTTCTCGTCCTGAATATGCAATTAATAAATTTGCCACTGAACGTTAAACAAACATCCACCATCAATCTACTCGCAGTAAAAACGCATTTAATCCAAAGACATGTACAAGGTTGTTTTTTTTATGAACTATAAATTTTCTCTAGGGAACATTTTAATTTCTAGAAATTTCTCTTAAAATAGTCATAAACACCATTTTATACATCTATTATTGAGTCGTAGTATGCCAGCCTTTTTTTTAAACAACGGAACAATTTTACATTTAGGTTTCCAGGTCCAAAAGATGAGATTCCTGAATCAACCGATGCTGCTTTAATAATGAACGTCTATAGACCAAAAACAACAGAACAGCATAACACAGGTAGTTATTGGTCTGCAAGGAGATACAGACGTACCCCGTCGGCAACACGAATAACCAGCTTTTATACCACACCAACAGCCATGCACACAACCAATACTTATTCCACACGAATACCATCAGCGTCAAGAGCAACCAATTTTTATTCACAACATAACTATTACAAGCGTTCACATTATCAAGAAGGTACCACATCGTGTGGCATGGGGCTTTAGTTGTAGTGCTAAATTGGTGTGAATGGCTCTGCTGTTATAGCTCTACCTCAATAATAGTTTAGGCGAGGATTTCTTGAAGTAAACTCACCTCAAAACTCACATATTAATGAAAGAGAAATCCTAGTATAGAATTCTTAGTCTACATATCTCACAGCAAATTGTAAAGTATTGTTTTTTATTCAGTTCATTTACTTTAAATACTTTTCTAGAAGTCAGATGTGCAATGAAGTTTTATTTATTGAACGAACCAAAACAGAAGGAAGAAAAGGTTTAATGCCAAACTTATGAAACAGATTATAATTTTAAATAAAAGCAAAGTTTAATTTTTTTCTATGTATAGATATAGACATCTTAAACTACTTTCCACTGGACTGTTAGTTCTTAGACTCTATGGTATTTATAGCTATTTGTATTAGGGTCTTGGATTTGTTTTGAAGTTCTCAGATGTAAAGGAGTTTGTTCACGTAGTCTGTTTTGAGTCATAAATGACATTAAAAATCCATGTGGTTATATTCACCGAGGACTTATATTAAATAAGTTTGTCCTTATATTAGCTGTACTCTCATTAAATCCTTGTGATAAAAACGAGTCATAACACTCGTGTCATTTTTATATAATTTTTATATAAACTTCTATGGCGACTATTTGTTGCGGACAATATTGGCAATATGTTTGAATTAACAAATTTTGCAAATTTCTAAGCTCTTTTCTGACAAAACTTTTATTAAAAGAACCTTACAATCTTTATGACTAAATAACACACCTTTGTGGACGTTCTCCCTTGCAGTTGGATAATGGACATTTTGTAGAACGATTCAAATTAGAATATATATATATTAGTTGTAAGTGGTCAGTTCTCCAAAAACTGTTATTTTTTCTATTGATGTTAAAAGTTTAAATCAAGTTCTATCGCGGGAATTTAATGGTTCTACTTACGTTTCAATTCAGTTTCAATTGCATTGTTTAGATTACAAAAGCAATTACTTTTTTAAATACCCAATGTTACAGTCTGAATAGAAATGACCACTTTCACAAAATATAGGGTAATAAGTTTTGTGCTTGTATTGTAGGATAAATAAACTATCGCATTTAAATGCTTATAAAACAAGTGTGAATCGCTTTATAACATTAGCTAATGTTGGTTTTGTGTGTTGAAAGGAATTACATAATTTGAGTAAATAACATTTTGATCTTTAATAAAAACGTTTTGAAATCATATCATTTGGAAATACATTTTGAAATCAAACATGGCGTATGATAAGTTGATTTTTAAATCTTTTTCAATACTTGAAAAAACCTTTTCCTTCAAGTTTCGGTAATAATATTTCTTGTTACTGCAGCATATCATCACAAATCCCGTAGATGTCAACATTTAATATCTCTGACAATTATTTGAAAAATATTGTTTCCACAAAACAGTTACATATTATTGAAAAGAGATGTGGGTGCAAGTCAATACTTGAGACAACAACCTCCAATTACAATAAAAACAGAATTGTACATGTATTCTTATATTCATAAACAATTCCAACAACACAAAAATAAAGACTGTCCTTTATTTAAATTGAAATTAGAGTAAAGCAAATACTTCACCACACTGAGAAAAAAAAACCCCAATTAAATCAATGGGTAGTTGGATGAACTTCCAAATTTGATGATACACATAGTAATAAATGTTATGATACACATTGTAATAAATGTTAGTCTTAGTAATTGTGTTTTACAGAATAAGGTAAGTATTATTTGAAGTATATGTTAAAAAATATTCAAATTTAGATTTTTTTTACTTAAAACCTTTTAAGTATAATGTACACATTATGTTCAGAAAATAAACATTTCTAGAGTTGGATAAACTTTTTGTTAAAACAAGATTCCGACTTAAAACAAATTTCTTAGAAGAAAATAATTCATTTTATGAGTTTTTAAATACAGTCATCATTGAATTTCTAACATCATTATTAAAAGCGAGAACATGCTGAGTAAGATTTATGTTTCTTTGTATCTATTTCAGAGCCAGAGACATCAGATACTAACACCAGTACTCAATGATCAGTTGTGGATATAGAAGGTAAACACATTTATGTTTATATTCATCAATTTATATAAAGACGTAAAGTAAATAACTGAAAGATATACACGAATATTTGTTAATGGTTGTGTGTTTGTGAAAGTAGTGGAAATTTTCACTCAAGTCTATTATAAGGGAAACGTCAGATCAACCAATCAAATTGATTTAAGGTTATACACTGTCGTTGTCTTGTTATACATAGGTGAATTTGTTGCCTAGTTACCTAACAGAAATGCTACACATCAAGAGTTAAAAGTAATTTTAATTTGTCACGTTATTTCTTTTTCGGTTTTAATTCTAATAATGCCATTATTTCCTTCCAGGTATAAAAGTCCGTGAAGAGAAACGTTCAGTGCAATAGTTCACAAGATCTTCAAAGCCGCACCAGTATTATATAGAAACCCAATGCCTCAATTCTTGCACCAGTGCTTCATATTATAGTTGTTCTTTGTTGTACTTTGTACTAAATAAGTATCTAAGATACCTGTAGATTTCAAACCATAGTCTTTCAGTTCGTCAGTATTTCACTTGTTTTTGTAGCTTTACTTTATTGTTTAATATATGTGTTAAATAAATCATAAAGATGGTTGATGAGGAAGAAAAAAGTTCGGATTTAAAACAACTGCATACAAAATCAAATACTTGATCAGTAATTATTTCAAGGAAACATACCAGTGCAATATTAAGGGTTATCTGTTACTCTCCCACACAGAGAAACAGTTCCTGAGTCTATATAGAATTCTTTCATCCTAGATACAAACTAGCTAATTTCTGGGCTACAGACTGCCCTCAAGCTCGTTATTTAGTTTTTTTAGACACGAATCTATTGATCCCATTGAAAAAAGGTAACAGGAACACAAGTCCGTTAAAAGACATTTCGTTGAAATAATTTTAACCAAAAATGTTTTTAAAAGAGTAATAACATCTGTAGCAAGAAGTTAGAATTGTAATGCCATTCAAGTAAGTCAGCTATTTACTATGTGTGCAGTTTTAGAAAATTAGAAATACGAAAAATGGTGTTTCCGAATGCAGATCGTGACATGAAATTTTTGATACATTACATTCGTTGCTAGTAACTTTACTACATACATTTTAATAATAGAATAAATGATACTATTTCGTTAAAATCCGCTTTTTGATAATGATTTCTTACTGCATAAAACATTTTACCCGTTCAACAGACAGATCTCCCTGCAGGTAGTCACAATGTTAACCTACCGAATTCTAGTGGTTTTAGTAAATTGCTTTTAGAGATGATCAGAATTGTTTTGTTGTTGTGTAAAAGTGTTATCTATCTAACACTAAATGCTCAATTGTTAAGAATTTTGCTCATATGATTGGTACTAGGTTTTTTAACAGTTGTTATCGTGCGTGATTATATACAGTATTATTTTGAACACTATATAAAACGTTACAACTAAATCTGACTTAATCTTATTCTTATTTGAATCTTAAATTTAGTGTTTTGAACCTCTTCGTTATCGTCCCCCCTTGATTCGTATACAAATATGATCAGCAAAGTGACAAATGCCAACACAAGACTAAAGTTCGTTAAAGTGATTATCTACACATGTAAAAGTCGCCAAGTTAAACTTTCTATATTGTGTGGACACCGTTCCTGTCTATTGTTGAAGACCATGTGACCACCGAGAAGTCTGCTGTTGAAGACCATGTGACTACCGAGAAGTCTGCTGTTGAAGACCATGTGACCACCGTGAAGTTTTTCTGGTTTGTTTTTCGCTTTGTTGCTGTCTCGCTATTTATTGCATGACACTCATCTCTTCCCTGTGGATAGTTGTTCAAAAAGAACATTATATATAGTCAACCGGAAATCGTACGTTCTTTTAAATTAATGACAATAGGCTCGCAACATAAGGAAAGGTTAACACAACTGCTGTTAAAACAATGGGACAATTCAAAATATATAACAACAAAAATGTGCCTGTCCCAAGTCAGTCATCTTCGCTAGCCAAGGGTTACGATCCAGTAGAGGATGGGACTGATCGTAACCCTTGGCTAGCGAAGATGAAGTCAGGAGCCTGTAATTCAGTGGTTGTCGTTTGTTTCTGTATATCATATTTGTTTTATATTTATTGTTTTGTACGCAAATCAGGCCAGGCCGTTAGTTTTCTCGTTTGAATTGTTTTGCATTTGTCATTTCAGGGCTTTTTATAGCTTATTGTGCGGTATGGGTTTTGCTTATTATTGAAGGCCGTACGGTAACCTATAGTTGTTGACTTCTATGTTATTTGTCCCTGGTGGAGAGTTGTCTCATTGGCAATCATACCACACATTCTTATTTTTATATCTTTAAGTCAATTTTTTTGATAAAACTCAATAGTGTTATGACATCAAAAAGTTCACAAATATATCAAATAATATCATTATTTTGATTTAGAAAGGACACAATTATCAAAAGATAAAAAAGAGATAAGAAGGATGAGTCTTAAAGAGTGATCGAGTTAAAGCAGATAGCTAGTTGAAAAAAAAACCAATCTTTTATTGACAGACAACGGCATCGATTAATGTATTTGTGACCAGAATATTAAATGTAAATCACAATTGCATCATCAACAGTAGAAGAAAAACATGGCCCTGTGCAATGTCAAAACGTATTGGGAAGAGGTATACAAGATAGAAATAAAGGAAATGATAATGCCAAACCACTCTTTCTACCTTTTGATTTGACTTGCACAATATTCTTTTTCAGATCGGCATTCATCATGTCTTGTGCAAGGATTTTTTCTTCAGTTACTACCAGACCAAAATACTTATTTCTCAAAATCTCCCGCACTCTCCCAAAGAATATCAAATGGTCGTCCCTTAAATAACGATACATAATCGTCATCAAAATTATGAATTTTATCGACCTGAGAAAGAAACTGATAGCTGCGTATGTCCTTCATATATATACAGAAGAAAGCCCTGTTATGTAAAAGATTTTAAACGACATTTAGATTTAAAAAAAGGAATATTGGTGTAGAAGGACTGACTGTTGGTGTGTAACACCCCATTCAGCACACTTTGCTGTATAATGACAGCCAGTTTGTGTTGGTGGAGGAAGCCGGAGTACAAGTACCCTACCAATAGGACTAGCCAATACTTTTTGTAATGTTCAGATGTAGCTGTATGACAAAACATTGAAAAAGGCACAAAAAAAAAGATTGGTAAATTGTATGAAATTTTGAAAATTTGAATAAACTTTCAAATCTGGACATTTTTATTTAAAATGATTTTATCACAGTTTAAGCCCTGGACAGAGAAAGTGGACATTTTTTGAAAAACACGCCCATACAAAATATTCAACTTTTTAAAAAAAATTGATAAAATATCACATGACTTTAATATATTTTCTAAATGCCCTCACTTTTGGTGTAAATGTAACAGCCACTATGTTCCGTCAGTTACTTTGTTCTGGCGGAACTTTTCAACTAGTTATTTCGTTCCGATGGAACTTTCCAACTAGTTGTTTTATTCCGAGTGCAGTCGAAAAGTTCCGGAAAAAAGTAGCTAGTTGAAAAGTCCCAGAACAATGTAGCTAGTTGAATAGTTCTGGCGGAACAGAACAACTAGTTACATCGTTCCGAATATATCATATTTCGTCCTTTTTGCAGAAAGAGGGGGAAGAATGAGTATCAGTATATATAAGAGCAAATCAATAATTTACAAGAATACCCAACGCACTGAAAGGGGTTTCTTTGGGGACAAATATGCAAAATTTAAGTTGTATTTCATAGCTCACATAAAACGGAATAAGTTGCATTATCATGCAAATTTAGTATTCATAGTACCCTCAAGAGAGGGAAGAATACCCCCCTCCTCATGTGGTTCTTTGCATCAATTCTCCAAATGGAACTTTGTGACTGGTTGATAAGTTCCGTTGGAACTTTTGGGCTAGTTTGTTAGTTCCGGTTTTGACTTATTTGCCAAAGAGGAACTTTGTGGCTAGTTGATAAGTTCCTTTTGACTTTTGTAATCAGTATCTTGGTTTCCCTTTGAAAGGTTCAAATATAATATGTTGCGCTTTTACTTTGCATCAATTCTCCAAATGGAACTTTCTGCCTGGTTGATAAGTTCCGTTGGAACTTTTGGGCTAGTTTGTTAGTTCCGGTTTTGACTAATTTGGCAAAAAGGAACTTTCTAACTAGTTGATATGTTCCGTTGGAACTTTTAAACTAGTCACTTTGTTCCGGTGGAACTTTTAAACAAGAGGAAGAACAAAGTAACTAGTTAATAAGTTCCTCCGGAACTTTTCGGCTAGTTAGTTCTTTCCGCCCGGAACTTTCCAACGTCGGAACAAAAGAGCATTTACATAAACATGTATTATCTATCTCAGGCTCATATCCGGTTGAAATTAAACAAAAGAAATGGAACTCTTATTACAGAAGGTAAAAAATGCCAAGTTGGTATTATTGAATTGTTTTCATCTGTTTCCATGGGCTTTAAAAGTTAAATGTGGGTGCATAATTTAGGATTTTATGCATCTTGTATACGTGTTTTTACTTAAATTATAGTATGGAGCTTCGAGATATTTGTTTACTTTTAAATTCAAGACAAATTTTCACAAAACAGTCGATTATGGTAGGTGCAAATACATGTGGATCTTCTTTGTGCATAAGCATAAATTCCACCCAAAAAATTCCACAGAAAGGTAAAAAATTTATCTTTTAAAAGTATTAAATTGCATGTCTCCATCCGGCGACAGTTTTTTTATGAAAAATAATCCTAAAAATGGTCAATAATTTCATCGAAAAGAGAAAGTCGAGTTCTTCTGTTTATGTTCAGGTATGTTTTAGTTGACTATTTTGTCTTGAAAACGTATAAAGAAAAATATTTGATACATTATCTTGCTTCAGATTTTATAATTTTTGGAAAATGACGCTATCAGCGGCATGTTTCCGATACCATTGACCAGAACTAACGGAAGTTGATTATGCCTCCGCCTACCGCACTCGGTTTCATATTTACTATTTAACATACTGACTGGAATCTGATTGTATTTCGCTACACTCGAACAAAGTGTTGTAGTCGGACGGGAACCAGTTTACATACGTTATTTTATTTACCAAAAAGATATCTTGAACTGTCCATATGTTTTTTGTTATTAAATGGTATTTGGAGCTATTCCTTTGTTATATATTTAATATTTATTCGAGCTTTGACTTTTATACACATGTCTTACAATCGTGAACAATCGGTATGTATACATGATAAATAGATCCGTTTTGTTATGGTGTTGGACTTTTTACCCTCCAATGATCAGCAATCGCTAGACAAAATAGTTCTCCTAAATAATGTCAGCCTTTCATGCCATTTCAACTTTACAATCATTAAAAAAGTAATAATCGGAATCATTTTGATATTCATTGGATAGAAACTGGTCTTTATCCAGATTTACGAAGATTTTAATAATCGGAAATTAGTAATACGGTTATACCCACGCGGTGCGTATGAATCTTTGTTTACAAAGTTATAGCAGCAGAGTCTGTAACTGTATCATTATTAATTAACTACACTGTTATTGTACTTAATATGATGAAAACTGCATATGCAATATAAGATGTCAACTCGGCCAATACAGATTTTTTTTCCGTATTGGCCGAGTTCTGATCCGGCCAAAACAGGATTTCGGAACGTCTCTAGTTTTTAGATCGTAAGTCACGATAAAACTCAAAATGAAAGTAAACAGTTGTTTGTACGACGCAGTTTTTATTTACTCACCATAAACAAGCTGAAACGTTCAGTATGGCATATATGTTATGTTAAAGACGGTCCCATTCATTTGAAAAGCATTTTGAAAGTAGACAATGGAATTATTTCAGGTTTGGGGAACGAGTAAATTATCACAAAGTTCATTTCTTGACGACCTCATAATTTCATCATGTCGATGGTACAAATCGATTTTTACTGTTTACTTTCGCTTCTCATGTTTTGTAAACGGTCTTTTATTTTTAAACCCGAACCAGGCATATGCATTCTGTAATTGCGCAAATCTTCGTTCTTTGGTCAATTGGCTTATGAATAGTTGTATCAATTTCAACTCTTACATTATTTTTTTTTTAAATATATTTGCATTACACATGCAATGGCAGTACCTTTCCAATTACTATTTATGTGTTGTGTCTAAATTAAAGTTGTAACACTTTATAGTGACTGGAAAGGGTAGAAAAATTCATCAGATGAGAAAAGGCTGAAGATGCATGGAAACGGCACCAAATCATTAGATATTGCATCTTATAAAAAGAAACTGAGATTTGGATAGTTCCACTTCAAGGTAAAAATGTTTATCTCTTGTGAAATGAAATAAAAAAATATTGTAACACTGCAGTTAATTAATAAAGATACTATTACATGTATTTCTGTATTGGCCTTATTGTTGGTCCTCGGCCAGCAGTATTGGCCTTCGGCTTCGCCTCAGACCAATACACCAAGACATGGACCAATAACAAGGACAATACAGAAATACTTGCGCAATAATATTATAGAATGACAGTATGGTTCAATAGCGGGAATCAGCCCCTCAACTACTTTTTACATAAATATTAACTTCTGGCTTCAACTCCTTGTTCGTCTTGTCTGGAGATCTTGTTGTAGTTCCAGTTAGGCAAGCATTTTAGAGACGTATCCCGTCCATCCTCTCTTGACTTGTAATTTCTGGTGATAGATTTTGCCGCTTGACGTTGTATCCTTTCAAGCTTGTTTTTTTTTGTTACCGTGTAGGGGTCCCATACTATGGCTCCATATTAAATTGTAAGATCCATTCCTAAAGGTCTAGATCATTGTTCTAATCTGACACAAATTTCAATAACTGGAATGCTACCCAAGTTGAATATATGGTGACCTACTAGAACAGCATTATCACTATTGAAATTGTGTTTAATACCATGATTGTTCAATGTCATTAACTTAAATAGAGACAGACATTTGGCCTGAAAGGTGGTGTGGGAGTGCAAAATCAAAAACTAACTGACTATGATATATGGTTAAAGAATGAATATCAATTACATGGGTCAACATGGTCAAGGGCAGAGTTGTTATGAAATAACAATATGGCAGAGAAGTGGTTTCAAGTTTCATATAAAGCGACCTGACTGACATGAAATAAAAAATCAAAGGAGTATCCCTATTTGTCTAATCTTCAAGGTGAAATAAAACTAGTAAAACAATATTATACTATTGTCTAAATCTACAGAAATATAGTTTGCTTCAAGTAACAGAAATAACTAGGTCACTAGTAACTTATTTAATGAGTATGTGGGGTATAAGAGCTTGATAACAACAGGCTCTTCATAATCATTTGGTTTGAAAAGGATGCTAGTAGTCTATATTCTTGATTTAGAAAAATGTAATTGTAAGACAAAAATCACATTACTTAGAATACTTTAGATCATTCAGGTAGTCTTTATTTATATGTACAAAAGAACAGCCAGTAGTCATTGGATATTGTAGATCATTCAAATAGTCTTGACCTATTTATTAGTACAAAAGAACAGCCAGTAGTCATTGGATATTGTAGATCATTCTGGTAGTCTTGACCTATTTATTTATAGAAAAAAACAGCCAGTAGTCATTGGATACTGTAGATCATTCAGGTAGTCTTGACCTATACATTTGTACTAAAAAAACAGCCAGTTGTCATCTTCACATAACACACACATATACGAATATCAATTATATGCTTAAGAGACATGTTGGAATGTTAAACTAATTACGGTATGTGAAAATCAAGACTTGCATAAAAAATATCACAATATTAGAGACAGTGGCGTCATTTTTCCTCAGAGCTTTCAGCTCTTTGATTATATATTCAGGCTACAGGTTGATATAATAACATTTATCACTTTAATACAGTACTAAAAATGAAAGAGAAGGTGTGTGGGAATAACAAAATTTCACTATAAGTATTTGACGACAGACTTTACTTGTGGATCTTTTTCATGCATATCTTCGTGAAAAAATCTTTTTTTGTGTGTGTTATCAAGGACAATTAATCTTCAGCATCTGAATTTTTTAAGTCTGTCCTTCCAAGAATATTTGATCAGAATAAGTTACGAAAAATTCCCTCCTGACAAACGGTCAGACAATAATTTTAAGTTGACTAAAGGCTTAAAAATAACTTAAAATTATGCTAAATAGCTAGTAGATACATTTTTCTTATAGAATGCAATTGTCCTATAAGGTTATTGAGAGCTAAATTGACAGCGCATTACTTTACAATGGCTTCCATTTTTACGATCATTGAAACAATTAGGTGGCGTTATGGGGAGATAATTTTGACTATAACCATGACTTTAATTGCTATATAGGCTGTCTTATGAATAATTAAATATTTATAAAAGCTTAAATCAGAAAGATTAATTGCACATCTTAAGTGAAATAATATAATATCAAAAGTAAGGAAGTTCCATTAATATGCGAATTGCTTCATGACAATTTATGCAAATAATCAGAATGTTCTAATACATAGTCTCGAAGAAGTCCACTCGTTGACTTACATGTAATATAGAATGGAGTCAGGCGTAAGGCTATTTGTCTTTTGTCTGTTCATAATCTCAGTTGGTGAGTCGGATTCTTTATTTAAAAAAACTTAAACATTAAGAATTGTCTTGCTTTTTTTCTTCAAATTTTGAGTACACTTTAACTTTGATTTTTTTTAAAGTCACAATTATTAGACTTGCCGTATGCATGATAGAGAATGGTCAGACGTTAATCTGATAATACTAAAAAACGGTATGGAATAGTTGTGATATTTGATAATTCTTAATGTGTGAGATTTTACAAGTCTTATAGTGTTAAATCCCTCTACTGAAAGAGCAAAAACTAAGGATATTTGCAATAGCTATAATTAAAATATTGAAGATGCTACCATCAGACAGCCATTGCTGCTCTCGAAAACTTCAAATGGCGACAAATTACAGGAATTGTGGGAGGAAAACTCAGAGTACACCAGTGACGATATTTACCGGAATAAATATTTGTTAGAGGAATGGAAACTCAACAGAACAGTTCCATTTAAAGTAAGTATACATAGGGGTCAAAGGTTAGCTTAAATAAATATTTACTGTAACTGATGCATTAAGTTGTTTTCCCCAAGTATTATCTTTACTTTGATTTTTTTTTCATTTAACATTTCTAGCTTTTGACAACTCAAATTTGAATTTAGTAACATAAAAAATCAGTTCCATAACATGGCAAATCGGGTCTGTAAAAAGCTTGCACGCTATATGCAATATTTAGTTGATAGTTACACTGATAGAATAAAATAAATACAATGTACAACGTTTTGAACGTCGATTTGAAGTAAATATTTAGAACAACTACATTATGATGATGATCTGATTAAAAAAAAATACCTAGAGTTTAATAAAACCTTTGAATTTAGCTTTCTGATTTCTTATATCTAGCTATGTGTTTTTTCAAATATTTTTTAAAATCTCTGAAATAAAAAAAAAATTGATCCTATTTCTATTTTTTAACCCAATAAAGTCTTTTACATCTAAATGTGTATACTTTTGACGAGAACGATATGGCATATTAATTGATAACATATTTTTTTTACAGATATCATTAATACTACGGAACTCGTTTAACCATTCTTTGTTTAGAATATTCTTCAGTGCACCATCCGCTACTAATATGTCTCTTTTAACAAGTGTGTTGAATGGTTCACATTTAATGCAAACAACTTTCACAAGAATTACCGAAGAAGTAGACACTATGTTTGGGTAAGGAATTCAAAGTTCAAATAGTAAAATATTATCTTTAAAAGACACCAAATAGTGTTGTTTAAAGTAATAGTTTGATACTTATTTCTGCTCGCACGAAAGCTGCTACTGCCATTACTTCATCACATTTGTATGACAACGACGAAAAGGGGCATGCATTATAAAAAGAACAAAGACAATATGAAAACTATAGAAACAACGATGAATTACAGCAAAAATTATAAAAGGAATAAATGCCCCATTGCTTATGTTAAATTCTGTAATTTCAAGCATTCAGTGCTATTTTGTTTGAATAATAATGTTTAAATAAAGTGAGTCATTTCATATCAAACATATACCTTATTCCGGCTTGTGCTGAAAAATTTAACATATTAGGTTCTGGTTCCCGGAATTTTTGGTAGTTCAAAAGAACAGGCACTTCTGATCCGACCAATAGGGCACGTATGTCCTCCCATTTTAATTTCATATAACTGTTATGTTATTTAAAAGAGTTCCAGAGTTATCCCAAGTCCTTAAAATTCATTTGGTCATTCCAATATTTTTCTTATTTACAAAGTTACAGCTATGCGTAGGAACTATTTTGTTTTAAATGTGTCATACGTTCTTGTATGTTCTTTACCATAGTTACTGTAACAACGGGGATACGAATAATAATAAAAAATATCAAGCAACAAAATTATAAAACGATTACAATAGAAGTAGAAATACCGATATAATATGCATGAATGTTTCCTGGCCAAATTTGTTTGTATTTTATTTTCCAGATCAGCCACTATACCATTCTCTATCAGGAGACGTAGTGATAGTTTGAAGGCCTACTTTGCCATTGTCAATACCTATAATGTTATCAAACTACTGTTTTTGAAAAATGAACAGACCCCATTTGGCATAGGAAACAGTTGAGTAAAATATAAGTGTTTAGGTCACTCAAATATTGAAATCTTTCGATAAAAATAGGTTAGTGTAAACTACTATATAAAACAGAAAACATCTATTTCCGAATCATAGGATTTAAAATCATGCACTGAACTGCTGAAAACCCTACTGTAATACATTAAAAAAATATGTTTATAACGACATCCTTTAGAGGTTTTAATTCGCTGTGTTTGATAAATTCAAATATATTACTCGTCCTGAACATGCATGAAATATTTGCCACTGGACGTTAAGCAACACAAAATTCAATCAAATATATTATGTTTATAAAATTGAATATGTATACAAATAAGAAACGTTACGTAAGAGTTTATCTTTCGAGTCAATATGGAACACTAGTTGAGTCGGAACTCTTGGCCCTTTTGGAGCATCTGAGTTTTTGGTTAAGATTTCCTGCAATAACCCTATCGGCGAAATCTATAGCTAAGTTAATCATTGTAGAAGATCGTTTATATGTACTACATTATCTTACTAGATTTCATCCTAGTCTGAAAACGGCTTGATCGTAATGCAACTTGATACATTTCTTCAACACTTGCTGAAATAATAGAGCCGTTATTGATACGTTACCCATAAGTCTCACCTTTCTCTTGTTATTTTGATTTTTCATTTCATTGAAATTGCTTTGATCTTTTTCCATTCGATTTGGCATAACCTTTTGGATTTTTTTTTGGTTTTCAATTCTCTTCAATTTCTTATTTGATTTTGCCGAGCGCGTGTTTGGCGTACCAAATTTATTAGCCTTACATCTTTGATTAGTTTTTACAACCACTGTGTCGATTCTACTGCTAATGAGCGTTTCGTCCCTAAGAGTGTCAGAGCTCAATTGGAATGAGCTCAGATGAATCATTGATATGAGTAGTCAAGGCCATACGTATAGACCACTTTTCCCGCGTTTTATTTTTAAGATTACGTAAGAATGCATATTTGTATTATGATTTAATAATGCATATTGCTAATTGACTAATTGCGTAATATTGTTAATTGACTGATTGCGTAATAATGTATATTGTTAATTGACTATTATGTAATAATGTATATTGTTAATTGATTATTATGTAATAATGCATATTATAAGTTTTATGTAATACTGTATTCTGTTATATGATTAATATGTAATATATGCATAATGAGTAATAAGCCTAATTGTTTACGACTTGTTTTCAGTCGACCTTTTGGCGTGTTTGCTTTAAGATAATTATCATTGATTTAATATTCAAATGATTTTGAAAGAAGAGTGTCATACCATAATTAAGAGAAAATATAAACATGTAAAGATATAATGATCTGTTGAATTAAATTAGGTTTAAATTAATATTGTTAATAGTTTTTTTTTTCAATTCAATGTTTTTCGTTGTAGCTTGACGAAAGAGATTCAAATGATTTGTTTCACAATTGATTATGAAAACATCTGTCCTTCCAGCTCTCAACACTGTTTTATTGTTAAGTGTCGTCACCTGGCCTGAAGCTTTGTAACTGACAAAGACAAATCTTATTACAAATAATCAAACGTTAGTTGAATATTTAACAAAGCTGATAAATTGATCGCACTTCTTTTAAATTGACTATGTGCATCTTGTTTTAATTTTCGTATTTAATTTAATAAATAATTAGATACTTTTTTAAGTTTGAATTATATCGGAATTTTATTCGAACGAATAATCTACCGTTATTCAATTTAGATTATCCTTTTTGATTGATCATAAAAATTATTAAAACAAAACCCCGTCTATTCTTTCTAGTTAACATTTAAAATCCGTCGTATATACTTATAGCAAAACTAAAGTAGATATTTTCCCACAACTGCAGCTTCTAAAGATAGATGTCCTTAATCATCCATATAACTAGCGGGTCACGCCATGATTAACATCAACGGGCATGATTTAAAATTGAGTAGTTCATATGGATAAAAACCAGTGAACAGATTATTATCTCTGTGAAATACTGAATTATGTCTAGTTAAATTCACCAGCTGCTTTGTAATTACCATTTTGAAAACAAAATATTTCACGCATACTTGAAATCGTATTGCTAAATTTTTTGAATTCCATGCAATCAATTTAAATGCGCATGTCTGCTTATTTTTGCGCCACATTTAAACATGAAGTTAACGACGACATATACGGGGAATCGGTGAATGGAATAACTTGGACAGTTTATTGCTTAAGGTAAGATTTATTGTATAAATTGTTTGTACTATCAAATATCTCAATTACACAAACAACAAAACCTTTTCGAGAACAAACATGTTTTATTAAACTAGTATTACAGTATTCACAAGTCTTGTAAATCGCGGGTGTTAACCCATGAAGAAAATCTCTCTGGCCAATAAAGCCATTTCACAAAATATGGTCCCTTTCCTCTGGTTTTGACAATATTTTCGATTTTCCATAAATCATCATCTTTCATGGTAACTTTCTGGACCTCACTCTGGTAAAAGGTCCCAACTATTTCTTTCCGTTGTAACCCTGGAGGCGATATATTGCAGCATTGTTTCTCCTAAATCTACCGGATATTGTAAATATCTCTCCGGTCCATTTTTCGTCATATTCACGAGTAAAAACATTTTTAAGATATGTTATTCGAACATGAGTTCCTATTTTAAATCTGAATCTCAAATGTTTTGGCATTTTCTTTGAAGGCTTCCGTGCAAAGTATGTAGCTAGATGTACGCTTTCTTCATTTTGTTTAGACACCTCATTCGGTGGCATATCTATGGTTCTATGTACAGTCTTATTATAACCTTTAGCATAATCTTGTATTTTGTCTATGTATTTGTATGTTTGTTTATATGCAAAGTAGCGATATATCCTGGTCTTAATGGTTTTTATTGCTCTTTCTGAGATAGCTGCTTTCACCTCGTTCAATGCTTAGAAATGTTTAATTCCCTCGGATTGAAAAAATCGTTGTACATTTCTTGATCTAAATTCTTGGCCTTTATCGGTTCGTATTCGGTTCGAATTCTCTTTCAAAATGTCTTTAAATGCCGAAGCAACGGATTCGCCCTGTTTGTTCTTCAATTTTCGCAGCCATATGTATTTGAAAAAAGCATTAATTACGACCAAAACGTAAGAGTAATCGTCGTTATATTTCTAAAATTTCACCATATACATGAGATCGGCAGACCATTGGTCGTCTTTACCAGCAACAATAATATTAGTTCGATTTCTAGGTCGTCGGATAGCTCTCTGCATTGAATAGGACTCTTGGTTTTGTAACCATTTTCTTATCTTATATTTACTGAGTTTGTATTTTTCATCTCGCTTTACAAATGCGAATAGTTTATCAGCTCCAGTAAAACTAGCGGCATTTGATAGCTCATAATAAATCCTCTGTAAATACTTTTCCCACGACTCCATGAGCACTGGTTGAATGTCGGAAGTAAAATGAAACATAATTTGAGTTTTCATATTATAATCCCTCCTCCTCCTCCTCCTCCTCCTCCTAAAGCGAACATTAAAATGAGAGAGCGAAATGATTTACATTTATAGTTCTAATCCTCCTCCTCCTCATCATCACCCTCCTCTTCATCATCATCACCCTCCTCATCTCCCTCCTCCTTATCATCATCATCATCATCATCATCATCATCATCATCATCATCATCATCATCATCATCATCATCATCATCATCATCATCATCATCATCATCATCATCATCATCACCCTCATCCTGCTCTCCATCCTCTCCTTCTTCCTCCTCAATGACTTCATCAATATAATTATCAAGTTCATTTTTGTATTTTCTTATCGCCATTTTTATTGCTTTCTTATATTCAGTTCCTTCTTGCATCATTTTTTCAATGAACTTTACTACCTTTAAATGCAATCTACCAACTCTAAGTTGTAAAATATAATACACCAATTTTTCATATTTCCACATAAATTAATCAAGTTCATCTTCTCGAAGTTTTCGGTTAGCTCTGTGTTTTGCTTCAGTTTCATACCGTTTTTCAGGTACTTGTCAACTTTCTCTTCCCAAAGATCTTCTGTCTCGTCTCTTGCATATTTAGCTAATTTCTTAAAAACTTCTCTTTCGCCGTCTTCAATCTGTATTTCTTTTTTGAATTTCTTTGAAGGAATATCGTGTTCCGCGTTGAATTTACGCTTCCTATCGTTATTTTCCGGACACCATCGCTTTACATGCCTCATTAAATCAGATAAGTTTTCGAACATCAATCCACATTCGTCACATGGAGGCATTTTTTCTTTAGTTTCAACAAATTCGGACACGTCTCCAAAAAGCGACTGCTCTCTTGTGCGTCTAACTTCAAAGTGATCAAAATTGTTTACTTCATCGTTCTTATACTGCGTCATACTACCCCCACCACCTCCATCACCAATCATGGCATTAGAACTTTCTTTCTCTAAGTTTCGTTCATTAAATATATCAACTTTTAGTCTCTCTTCTTCTAATGTGTTCTGCTTCAGATCTACAAATAGGTACCCGTATGGCCTTTTAACTCTTTCCATACATTTATTCATAAATATTTTTGAATTATTTGGATACATCTGTCTAGCAAATACAGCAGGTGTAACTTGATCACGTGGATTTTTGAAGAGAACTATGTACTGACTATTAATGCTCATCGTTCTATTTTCCTTTCCTCTTGAAAAAGCATTCTGTACGATGCAAGTTACACCCAAGTTACGGTGATGACTTCCCTCGACAAATAATTCGCACACATCTTTACTATTTGTTGCGTCTTTCATGAGATCATCTATTACGTCAAGACTAGGGTATTTAGGGTCTATGAATAAATCGTTGTTGAGGTCATCCGGAATACCTTGAATGAAAATAATGTTCTTGACCGTCTATTGCATTTCAGTAAATAATGGCTGCCATCGTTTATAACACCATATTATCCTCTTTGGCGATGGTTGTATCATACTCATTGCCCTCTTCAAAAGCTTTTTTATCCAAAACGTTTTTCCCGACCCTGTAGGTCGAGCCAACATCAT